CTTGGGCCTTGAATGTTCAGAGGAATACCTTGTCTTGCTTGAATGTCATGTCTGGAGCTCACTAATAAAGAAGCAAAGTGATGATGTCACAAAATCTTTTTCTAAAAATGTTTTGATTATTAACACAAAGCCCGGAGAAACATCATGAAACAAATCGAACTGCGCAAAGCCAGATGATTACAGGTTTCTACCTCCTGGTTCTAAGCCTTATGAACCAAGCCAAAATAACAGTAACCCGTTTGCAAACTTAATATTTTTAGCAATCAAGAAAACATCATGTAAATTAAGTTTTAATATCTTAACATGACGACATTGATGCTTCAGTAACTGACGTGAAAAAAGATTACAATACATTTTACTCAGAAAAACTGTCTCCTTTGTCTCGCAAATTCTTTAACTTTATTCCCAATTTTGTACAATTACCTTTACGCTCAGGTACGTGGTATCTTTCTTTCATAACTTAAAAACAACGAGGAACACATGACATCTGCTATCGCCCTGTAGAAGCTGACACATTTCGTGGCAGGAATCGTGCAACAGCTTTTCCTTCCCACCAAATCTGGTAGGATTATTCGCACATTAAACAACACAATCCCCCCCCCCCCCCTAGGAGTATAGTTTATAGACTTTAAAAGCAATGTAAGTGTATCCCTTGAAACTTCAAAGATCTCCGATTATGCAAATCATTTCAAATGTTACTTTTGCTATCATAAAGCGTGATTTCCAACAAAGATCTCAAGTAGGAGAACAATTTGCTACTCTGCTTGCTTGTAAGTTCTATCCGAGATCTGTTTGAGATTTGTTCTACCTGAGAACAAAGAGATAAAGTGCGGTAATTTAGTGTACCGAGAGCTTTTTGCATATGTTCTTTTACTGCAAATATTTTTCGTGCATTGCCACATGCAATATGTATAAATCAACCTGATCAACACGTTTTATACATAAGATTCATGTCTCTTTTTTAAGAAATACGTCAGACCAAGCAGGTTTAAAGATTCTTAACATTTTGCTGATTTGAGCCTGGCGATGTTTATTAGATATTTCTTAGTATTTAGGTAATTTGGGCATCGTGTCTCTTTTTCCAATGTTTCTTAGGGCCTAATCAATATATCGGCTGAAAAAGCGAGATCCTGGTTTACAGGGCTAGCCCGCTTGTCATATGATAGCATGCTAGTTTTTAACAGCATTTGACTGCAAAGGTGAGATATCGGCAAAGCGGGCTAGCCCGGTTAACCGAGCCCATATGATTAGCCCCTTAAAGAAAAACGACGTGGACCTGCTCGTCGTCACTTTCTATTTCTTCGCCCTCTTTTGGACGAAATTGTTCAAAGATACGGAAATGGCTTAAACATTTTTTCCTAGCAGACATTAATAAACAATTTAAGCGTGAAAAACGTTCGAACAAAGAGTTGTCCGAAATTTACTTTTACGAAAATAAGAGTTGTTCGAAAGTTTTACACGCCGAAAGTTGTTGCATAAACTGCACATGCACATTTTTAAAACTGACTGAAGCAGGAAAAACGAAACAATAGGTTTCTTTGCAATCTTTAAATGTGAGTTGATCTGCAAAATTTTTAAAAACATTTGTTCTTTCAAGCTAATAGAAATATCAGACCAAACAACTACACGCTTCTTTTGTGAGGAACCGCAATACAAGAAACCTGCTTGTAGAAGGCCTAAAGTTTAGAAAACTGATACTACACACTAGAGACAAAATCTCTAGGAACTTTTCAATTGTGAACATTTTACTCACAGCAAACAATCAGGAATTAGAACGCCGGTTCCATTCATATTGAGTCAAAACTCACATAAATAGTGCGAGTATTTCTCAAAAGTTCCGAGTCTGTCGACGGTGCGAGTGAAGACTACGTTACATCAAACGATATCAATGGAATCATAATTAATGGTGGAATAGACATGCTGCCTCTTTACTCAGGGCCCACATCACTAATTTGAAAGTGAGGGGAGGGCCAAGGCCAGCAATAGTAGGGGCCAAGGCTACTTTTTTACAGACATGTACGTTGACCAATATTAAGCTTCTTTCTTGCCTTCTTTGGCCTCCTCAAGTAGGTTCCTGAAGCGACTAAATGTGCAGCGTCTTTGCATGCGTCTTTGCATGTTACTAACTGTGCAGTTAAAATCAAGAAACTATTAAGGAACTTTTGTTACTACGAAATGAACAATACATACATACACACATACATACATACATACATACATACATACATACATACATACATACATACATACATACATACATACATACATACATACATACATACGTACATGCGATATTTGTTATTGCAGGTTACGCTAAAGTCAGCTTATGCTGATGTAGACCTGCATATACTACTAATAAATGAAAAGTTTACCTGAAAGTATACAGAAATGTTAAAATTATTCAGTAATAAAAGTCCTCAAGCCTAGTTGTTAAAATACAAGTTTCAGATTTAAAAGAAAATTTATTTATAAAATCAATATGTAATTTGATGTTGCTCTTGAATTCTTGTGTCTTTTCTTTCTCTTTTACACTGTTGTCAATTACATTCCACAGAAGAAATCCTCTTCAACTAAGACTCTTTCTGCCAATGTCTCTCGCATTATGTCAAACTGCAATTTATTCCGAGCTCTATTCCCTCGTTATTTAAAAGGCCCTGAGAGTAGAACAGGGCAGTTTCCATAATAGATTGTGTGCATGTAGGCTGGCAGCCTTTTCTTATAAATATAACTTATTAGCTGCCATTTTACTTTGCTCATCATCTCTTTATTTGTAAGGGTTCTATCTTTGATCTTGTGTATGAGTCTTGAAGCCCTGCTATGTAGATTATCTATACCATCCATATGTCATAGTTTGTCATAGTTTTGAAATATATGTCCTCTCGAATCTTGATAGGTAAATACTTTAGTCTTCTCATCTTTTTAGATTTGCTATAAAAACTATTTGTTAGTTCGTAGCCATTTTTAACTAAGATGACTTTTCCAGCTTAGTTTGTTGTCAATTTTGACCTCCAGGGAAGTGCTCTCTGTAACATATTTTATCATTTCATTCCCAAACATAACAGGCTGTAGAAGCCAAGAATAAGGAGCTTTAGACATTAGGCCTTGAGTTTAGAAAATCGACATTAGACATTAGAAAATCGTGCAACATCCAGATTAGGGGGTGGAGGGTCATCAATAGAAAAATTTACCGACGAAGACATAGATGGGGAAGAGTTTAGGTGCTATTTCACCTACTGATAGATGATTTCACCGACAAACTAAGGATCGGTTCTTCGAGATATGACTGGTCATACTTTGCTATTATCATGAAACCTTATCGTGTGTCATGTAGAATGTTTCTTTATGTTACTGATATTTTGCAGGTAATGGTCAAAGCAATTTCCAGACCACCGTTTGGAATCAGAGAAGGTCCATATTTTTCATCTACCACTTTCTCAAAAAGTTACCTTCGTGTTTCAAAAAATAAGAAATTGGCCTTGATGTGAAATTGGTCTTGATATCTCACGAGGGACCTGACCCACCCATCAAAGCGCCTTGTTTTTCAAGCAACAGTACTTAGATCACATTCCAGATAAACATTTGTCCAAAAATATATCTGTCCAAGGTGCCAAAAACATTTCTAAAAACATTTTTACCGAAATTTTTCGTCCGAACTTTTATTCGCTGAAAACTTTTGTACTTGATCTAATTATATAAAAGAACAGGAGTAAAAAGAGCGGAAAAATTAAGAAAATAAATAAGAACAGTGGAAAGGATGTCTATCTAGCTGGCAAAAAAATTCATCATCAAACTATGTGATGGGTTTTCTATTGATTATTCAGAAATGGCCAGTTCTTAGGTGTTTCTGAATCAGAGTTTTGTTGGGCAGTTCTTTTATTTACGTTGGTAAATCATTCAGGTATTTATTCTGTTGTGTGTAATATAACGTTTCTTATGGCTGGTTCTCGTGGATAGTGTCGTAAAATTCGTATGTTCAATCGCGTGTGTAAGTTGACTGTAAATATAACTAAAGAAGTGGATTTTTCTCTTGGAAATTGAATTGATGATCAAATATAATATTATGCTTACTTAGAAGACATTGTAGGTCTTGCATGCATCAGTTTCTCAAAGATGTAATTTGTTTCTTCTGCTGTTTTAGCCTTCTTGGGAAACATTCTAAGTGAAAAGATTCAGTAACCATTCTAATACAATTTAACTATTTCTGCATATTGTAGGCTAAACCATCATTATTTGATTTCTGTTTTTCTTTTTTAAATTATTGTTTTATTACTCTTGCTGTTATTATTCATACAAAACTAATATTAAATTATCGTCATTTCACGTCACATCAATTGGGCACATGGCTATGATAGGTCTACACTTGGTACCAGAGTTTTTGCTGCCGTTAAATTTTTGCGGCTCTGGTACCCAGGGTATGATAGCCCCTTCATGAGTTTTTTCCACGTGTCCATCAGCTGGTCTTATATGATATCTTATGTTGTTCCTTGTAATGTAATCTTTACAGTTATTGATGATTGTATCTTAACAGCTATCATGACGCATCTTGTAATTAACTGATTTGTTGCTGAAAAGGTTTTTTGATTTGATTTGAAACGTGTCAGTTTAAGCTTCACTACCGGACTTAATTTAATGTAATGTTATGTCATAAGCATCTGTAACAAATTTCATGATTGAGATGAATTTTTTACATCATCATAAATTTATTTATCATTTACTTTGAATTCTATTCAGTTTTAAAACATAATTTATTACTTTATGAGGTCTTCTACAAGATCATGAGGCCCTGGGCCCATTTGCCCCCTTGACCCCTATCGGCGGTCCTGCTTTTTCAAAAATCTTTGATTGGCGAGGGCACCAGAGAATGAAGTGAAATGAACCATTTTAGAGAGAAAACTAGAGTTTCCTTTGCCATTTTAGAGAGAAAACTAGAGTTTTGCGCTTAGAGGCTTGAATTTTTTTTTGGCCATGACAGTAAGCTGTTGTTGCTGCATGTCACTCTTGTTGTTGGTGCTGTTGTTATTAATTAGGAGTTCAGGTGTTGTTTTCGTGACGATGAGATGATGACGATATTCGTCAAGCAAGTTAGGGATATTTCAGTCCAAAAGAAACCCCAAAGATGAGCCTTTTGATGGAAGATTTGATGAAGGAGCTCAAAACGTTGTCATCGAAGCTCGAGGAAAGTCAGTCCGATTCAAATTCGACATCTGAAGTTGGTGAACAGGGGAGACCACCTGGCATCGGCCTAGATTTGTTGCAAATGAGGAATAAAAGTAAATCAAGAAGAAGGCGGGGAAGGAAACGAAGATTGGAATCGCATCCAGAATTAGAAACAGGAACAGAAAGTTCTTGTGTTGATTCAAGTGAAGATGAAGCTGCAAGAGATTACTGCGAGAATGCTAAGATAATTGTGACGGACTCAGATGATGATGAATTTGTTCCTCGGAGGAAGTGTCTTACATTGCCAAACGGGGTGCCATGGAGTCCGCTTGACCTTGGAGAAAGTGATTCATTCACTGAAAATATAATGAATTTCAATGCAAGAAGAAAGAAAAAAATAAAGAAAATTAATAAGAAATTCAAAGCTCTAGAAAACCTGGAAACAATGAGTGTACCTGTGAAAGGTCCAATTAAGAATAAGACAAAGCAGAAAAATTGTAAGCTGAAAAATGAATTCGAGTTTAATCAGACAAAAAAGAAGAAACATTCACCCACTAAGAATAGTTTTGCTTGTGAACATGAACAAATGGGTAGGGACTGTGATGCTGTTGATGATGATGACATCGATGAAGAAGGTGATGAGGAAGATGTAATTATGGATGGCAGTGACATCTCATCAGAAGAAGAATCTGAGGAAGAAAGTGAAGGCTCAAGCTCAGGATCAAATGAAGCAGATGATGAAGGAGAAGAGAGTTGCATTGAAACCAATATTTCAGCAGCAATTCCATACTGGGAGGATGAAAAAATGTTAGAGGACAAAGAGGAAGAAGATTTTCAATTAGTTCTTGCACAGTCTTTTAAACTCCTTTCAGATGAATCAAAGCAAGGTTGCCACTTTTTTCTGCTTTTTTCATTTGAAATTAAACTTGCACAAAATTTGCTAACATTGCATAATATTGAAAATTACATTTGCAGCTGTTGCAAAACCTCTGATTGGATGCTTCCACTAATACAGTAATGTAAACATACAGGGGCAGATACAGAAGGGTACGAAAGGTGCTCAAGCACCCGTCAGATCTTAGCGAAAGCCAATTCTGTTTCAGGTTTTTTTTATTATTACTTATACTATTAAGCATCTTTTACACTGAGTACTATGCACATCAACATTGGCTAGAGAACCCATGGATTTAAAAAATCTAAAACATCAAAGAATACCGATTAAACCAAGGAGAGTTTCTTCTCTGTAAACTGCAGTCAAATGTATAGGAATTTTGTGACCAGAGGAAGTTGAAGCTGACCAGGGGTAGTTGACATTAACCAGGAGGAGTTGAATTATAATATCATATTGAACACTGGGACAGAGTATAGCTAAAATTAAGGCATAGCCAAAGAAAGTGCAACAAATGTCTATCTTATAGTGCTTGATGCTATTAAAGGCAGAACTTGTACGTGCTTTTTTTTATAGAACAGAACAGTCACTAGTTGCAATGGTCATAAGTTGCAACGCTTTATCCATCAATCATGAAGCATGATGCTATTCAGGTGTCCCAATTGGTTTCTTATTCCTATATAAAATAATTTTTCCCTACAGAAGAGCTTTTGGCCTTGTTAAAGTAACAGAAATTACCCAAAGTGAAAAGTTTGAGGTCTTCTTTGTTTGGTTTTGCGTCATTTGACGATGCATGCTGTGCTTGAATCTGATTTGCTTTTAGGACGTGGGTGTAAAGTATTTGTGACCCAAAGTTCTAAAGCCAAAGTCTCAATTCTAGTCTGATTAGAGTGTAGCAAGAAAAATAAAAATATTACTTGTGCAGAAATGTTTAGATCCAGGTATCTATGGTTCATAGAAGACTTCCATTTCATCATGGCCTATGAGCAAGGGTACAGAGTTTGTCCATAGCCACGCCCTTGGTTACAAAGCCTTGAAATTGAGCACCCCTCAGAATAAGTTCCAGATCTGCCCCTGACATACATATTAAAGGTAGCTAATAATTGGCTTTTGCACTGATGAACCCCTGTATGCCAGGGTGAAAGATTAGCCACCATTAATTTGTTTGTGTTCATTGTTGTTTTTTCACAGTGCCTTGTTATGTTCCTTATTTTCTAAATTTTTATCAACTTTTCACCTCAAGCATTCAATTAGAGTCTATAAAGCAGCCTGCTACTGTGGCCTTTCCTTTATTTACTTATGCACAGACTATAATTCCTTACACAACCTATTGCAATGTTTATAACAGTTGATGTCAATGTTTATTGATTTCAATTTAACCCCTTTTTTCTAGATCTGGAAAGAGGGCTTGATAAAAAGTTGAACAGATTGGCTCCCAAGGTATAATCTTCAATTTTTTAATTTTATAAGAATAATTTGTTTGTTTTCAACAGCAAAATGGTCAGGCACAAAGCCAGTCCTGAAAAGGTGTAGAGGGGCAATGCCATTAAGAGATCGCTTGTCAGCTGATTGAATCAAAGATTGCAGCTTCTTTTTTGGAGGCAAAAAACTTGAGTAATGGAATTGAAAAACCTTCAACAATTTGAAAAACCTGAAAAACCTTACAATTTTTGTAACGAAAAAATTTCAATACTAGTTTTTGTAATCTTCCTTCACTGACGATTAGACAATGAAGATTAAATGAAAGTAGTCAAAAGAAAGCTCTGTTTTATATTATCTAATTCAGAAAATACACTCCCCTCTGAAAAGTTTTTGTACTGTCAGGTATAATTATTGGCCTAGTCTTGACTTACGCCATGTTAGTAAGTAAGTTTATTTAGATTTTTTCCAGAAAATAAATCAATTGCTTCAGCAAATAAACGAAATAAATAAAAAAACATATTAACATTTCGTTAAATAAAATATAAATAAAATTTAATATATTAAAAACATATTAAAGTTTCAAAAGTGGAAAAAATGTTTATCTTTTGTCACTGGTAAAAACACAACAAATGGATGAAGCAAAGCAAACGTCCATCAAGGCTTACAAACTTATTGATTTTGGGAGCTTGATTTGAGTGTGTGTGAAAAAATTAAAAAAATTGTTGTGTAAATCCACATTGTCATCTTGGCCTTCCAAAGCAAATGTGTTGTCTTTACACACTGCCCTTGTAATTTTCAGATGATTAGTGCTTGTGTGACTGCCTGCAAGACCTTTACAGGAGGAAGTTCCTCATCTTCAAAATGGGGAGAGTGTCATTTGAGGATCTATGCTAACAGAACGTTGGAGTTGCACTTTTTTCTTGACCCAGAAATCTGGTTCATGTGATACATTGACCTCAAATAAACATAATATAATTCGAAATAACATTTTTAAGAATTTTTTGTATTAAGCTATTTAGAGTGACTCTTGTTTTGCAGCTTAATGAAAATGGTCATTTCATCACATATGCTAACAAAAGAACAAGAGCATTTCTACAGCATGAAGATGAACACGAGTAAGTTCATTTGATTATATAGATTGAGTGGAAAATGAACATGCCAGGCAATATTAGGTAACAGATTATGCAACATACTTAATGAGGCACATTATAATTATACCCTTTTTCAAGTTAAATTACCTTTTTTGTGTCCTGATTATTTTACTTGTCACTTTTTTTCCACAGAATACTGCTGGGTGAATAATACATGCTTTTGTTCTAATGTGTCATCAGTTGCATTACCTGTTAGTGTGTGCCATTCCATTACTGTTATTGGTGCAATCCTTGTAAAATCGTTCTAGTGCATATTTATTCAAAAGTTTTCAGCTGTAGTATCATTGCACGATGGGTTTTAATACTTGCATTAGTTTGAAATCGCTTGATGAGTTTGATGGGTTTGAAATCGCGCTGACCAGCCAGAAATGTAGTGTTAGGGGTCTTATGGCCCAGTCCCCCTGTTAAGAGGTGCCAACACCTTGATGACAAAGGATGAATTTATGGGTTCGACCATCTTTGTTCTTCGTCTGATGATTTATGCATGTTGACCGAAACACTCAAACGGTTGTCTTTTTTAGGCTGTGTATGAATGCTTCATGTGACACTGAAAGAGATCAGGTTAGTTCAACTGCACTTGCATCATGCTTGGTAATAAAGTCTTTATTATTCCTATTTAAAAATCAATAGTTTAACTTTGATAGGAATCTAGGCTTTATATGGAATTTTACTGAAGAGATTGGTCGTATAGTTTAAGCCATTAACAGTGACGGCTCGTGTATTGGGGCTAGTGATTTCCAAGATTCCCCACCAAAGATTTCCAAGAATAAGTTTTAGATATTTATATTTAAATATAATAAACGTTTCTTCACTACTTTTCCAATCTCCAGTTTCTTTAGTTCTACTGCCCGCGGATCTTTCGAAAATAAGACAAAATGCGTATCAGAAACCATGCCCGAGCTTTTAGGGCTAGCCCCAGACTAGAAAAGACATGAAATGCTCCTTTCTGATTGTTCAATGCGGGACGAATTTGCATTCCTTAGTAAGTCAACGGAAGCTGAATGTATGTTGTTGTGATAGGCAATGTAGGTCTTGAAGTGGAACACAGTTAGTAGTTTTGCGTTTCTTGGACGACTCGCACTTTCAGCTTTGAAATTTTGAAGTCAAGCATACAAGTTAAGTGTTCATCAGAATCCCTTTTTGCCGATCCAACTCAAAATGGGAAGGTTAGGCCGTAGGCCTTCTTCATCCAAGGAGTATCTTCATTACATATACACATTAGTCTTCTAACGTCATAAAATATATCTCCAATGCTGGCATTCAATTTGAACAATTTTAACAGTATATGACAATTAATCGATTAATAGTTTGAACTTTCGGCTCTGTAAAATTTTTTATTGAGTATCAACCACGAAAGAGACCAAAGAGAGATTAGTGGCTAATTTATACGTATTTCTAATTATGAACTTTAGCAGTATCCTTGTTCGTTGTAAATCCTTTATGTGTGATTTTTTGATGTTTTAGATTATTGAGCTTGCTAGCCTTTATTCACTACACTGTCGTTTTGAAGATGGTAGCAACAGAAAGAAAATTTTTCTGACAAAAACCAGGTTTGCAATAAAGATTCAAAATTTGCTTTGTATTATCGAATTCAGTATTTCTTGGTGACAGTAATATGGTAACTGTCAGTTCCAAATTTTTATTAAATCTTCTTATTTTGAGGAGCCAGAAATTTTTCTTAACCTTGCATTGTATGTAGTTATCGACGTTATTTTAATCATCAACCATCAGCCTCACTGCCCTAATCCATAATCTTCACTTCCATCACTTTCCTTGTCATCATATCAGGAACCGTCTAACGGTCGGAAACGACGTCGAATTAACAAGAACACCAGAAGATGTCCCTTCAAAAGATGCTCCTTTGGGTCCTTTTTTACAGTATGGAAACATGATACAGATATTTCTAGCGAACGCCAAATTACAAAATACAACTAAGCCTTTATTGTACAAGAGAAAAATTAAAGAAAATAAACAAGAAGTGATGCATATTTTCAATTTGTACGAAATCTTTAGCAGTTTTAACGAGATACATCGAATCCGCTGATTACCAAATCTTGCTTGTTTCATATCTGCTTCTTTCTTTCTACAGTACACTCTCGTTAAGTGGGACACTCAAGGGACCGGGAAAATCTGTACTACATAGCGCGTGTCCTACTTACCCGAATGCTTTAAAAGGGTAAGCAAGTTAAAGTGACCGGGAAAATCTGTACTACATAGCGCGTGTCCTACTTACCCGAATGCTTTAAAAGGGTAAGCAAGTTAAAGTGACCGGGAAAATCTGTACTACATAGCGCGTGTCCTACTTACCCGAATGCTTTAAAAGGGTAAGCAAGTTAAAGTGACCGGAAAAATCTGTACTACATAGCGCGTGTCCTACTTACCCGAATGCTTTAAAAGGGTAAGCAAGTTAAAGTGACCGGAAAAATCTGTACTACATAGCGCGTGTCCTACTTATCCGGGATCCCACTTAACGAGAGTATGCTGTATCTATCTGAAAAGGGGAAGCCTAGGCACTGCGTGATATCATTTCGACATCATTACCGCGATTTTGCTCCAAAAACCTTTCTTGTTATCTGTAACTACAAAATGAAGCGTTTTTAAACTTAGTTTTCTGTATCAGTAAGTGACAATGTGGTCTTGTTACACGTGGTGCTAAGTTGATGTTATTCACTCAAACATTGACCTATAAGAGTTGTTTTCAGTTACCGCCCATCAATCAAAATAAGACGGATTAGATTTCCATTTTTGTAGAACCTTCCTCTGTAACAAGTTTGGGGTGGAGGAACATGCCTTCTCCTAGCCCAATTGGAAGTGCAGTCCCTGGACCACTGTCATCTTCGTTTCTTCTTTTTCCTCCCATCTATACGCCAACCTCACCGCCATCCCAACACCACCATTCCAACACCACCATTCCAACACCGCCATCCCAACACCGCCATCATTACATTTTGAAGCCGAACATTTATTTATTATCGTTTTCTATCATATTCCGGCGCATTAGGGTGCTCCTTTTATTTTTATCTAATTTGCCTTGTTTATCTAATTTATCTAATTATCTAATTTCCATTTGCCTTTAATAGACAACACACAATCTTTTCGAATGCTTTTAAATATTTCCTTCAAGACCTGTTCACATGTATCTTTATTGACTCTTGATGGATTTGTGGAGTAATTATAAGAAATAACAATACAATCTCAAGACACTCATCTTACCAACGATAAATTAAAAAAACCCCAGACTTTTATCATACCTTGCCTTCTCTTTTATGTCCGTTTTGTTATTTTTTTAGAAATACAAGAGAACCTGAAAGGCGGCTTTTAAAAAGATTTCTTCGAAGAGAAGCTCGCAAATCGTAATGTCAAATTATTTATGAATTTTTCAAACTACCTCATGTGTATCTTTAATACATTGCAATAAATATGTGTTATCGTTATCTCTTTCTGGTGATGATTTTCAGAATTCATTTAATCTGGATTTGTTTATGAATGTACCTGCCCAACAGAAATATTAGTAGTGAACACGAAATACTCTAGAACCCGAGGTCTTCCAGTGCCGGTGACTGATGACTTCTCCTTTTATACTTCATGTGTTAATGTGTTTTCTTGTTTTTGTTTTTTCGAATACATTGTTGTTTTCATCCACAGACGATCATTGAGTGCTCATTCGCAGCGCTACGCTTCAAAGCGAAGAAAAACGACTGCTCCCGAAGGTATGTCGTTTGTCAACAGTCTCAACATTTAGCTGTCGGATCTGATTAGTTGACGGTAATTTGTCACTCGCTTTGTTTGGTCTTTATTAGCAACATTTTGTCTAATTTACTCCCTTTAGAATATTTTGAGCCGAAAATGGTATTATTTTTGGCAACATCTCTTTTCCAACTTCTCCTGCATCTGTTCCAACTTTCCAACATCGGCAATTCTTTCCTCTTAGTATTTACAACTGAAAATGCTAATCCAATACCAGAAACCAACGTGGGAAACCAAATGCTGCGGTCGATGGGATGGAAACCTGGAACGGGCCTAGGACCAGATGGGAATGGGATTATCAAACCAATCGCAGCTCACAAGCGACCAAAGAAGCACGGATTGGGCTACTCAAATTAACGAAAGTAAACAAGTCGTTTAAATACGTCTAAATTTAGATTTCTTTTTTTGTAAGTCTGAATATTGTGAAGATGGGTTTTATTTTAACTGTAAATATCTTAAGTTTGGAGGTTGATTTATTGAATTTATTGTATAAAGTGAAAGGAAATGATAAAAAGTGAAGTTGAATTTTCTGTCCTTGGTTATATTTTTCGGTGAAGTTTATATTTTAGCTCTCTTTCCAATTTGCACATTTTGAGGGAACAAATCTTTCTTCATTTATGTGTATCTTTCTTTATTTGTATAATCATGCGATTCTTGCAAAAAGTCATCGGAGCATCCTACATTAAAATAACGTTTTTGGAAAATGAACAGGTTCCGCACTCCCGAAACAATGTTGGTGTGGAGAAGCCTGTAACTCATCTTACACATTTGCGGAATTTCAAGCTTTAAAACTCTTAATTTTCTACAAAGGGGGGAGGGAGTTACTAATGAAAACTGGCAAAGTCTTGATGATGAGAACTTGCTAAAAGTTGCCATAGAAGGAAGAATTAAAGGAAAAAGACCAAGAGGAATGCCTAGAACGGGAATGTTGGAGTCAGTAGTTGATGGCCTATATAGGCATTTTAAAGAAAAAGCAATGAAACGTGAAGTCTAATTGAGACGAAACCTGCCACCAATCAGTTCACTGAAAGAGGAAGAGATTTTCGGTGCGCAATGTGAGTGAAAACAATTTGAAATCTGATGAATAATTTCAGTATTTTACGAATAACTTCAAATTTCAGGATTTAATGAATAACTCCAAAATCATGATGTCCAAGGCAGTAGCGCTGAAAGGGGGGTTCAGCCGGGGCAATGCCCCGAGGCCCGAGCTCTAAACTCAGCTATATTTTTCTTTCTTAACAACTATGCATCTTCCAGGTAAGGCTTTCTCCTGCATAGGCCTCTAAAGGCATTTAAGATTACTGAATGATGGCTTACTGAATGATGGCTTACTGAATCTCCTTCCGTTAGTATTTTTGAAAAGAAATTAGGCTCAAACTAGGCCTTCACTGAACCCTGTTAATGGTATCCACAATCCAAAAGGTTTTGCATATTTAACCCAGTCAAGGGTGGGACTAAGCAAACTAAATGTCCATAAATTCAGGCATAATTTCAAAGATACAGGCATAGCTCGTTAAGTGGTACAGTAAAGGTTTTGAAAATTAATGGTTAACAGTTTGAACAAAATATGTCGGAGAAATAAGGGCTCAGAAGCTGACTCACTTTTAATTGCCAAGTAGCTAATCTTTTTTAGTTAATTTTAAACACCTCATTTATACCTATTTTTTATAGATAGAGCCTCAGGCCAAAGGTTAGTGAGAAAGATTTAATAAAGATTTAAAAGATACTCTTTTTAACCACGCTACAAAACAACGTGCAAATCCCATTTTAACCTTCAAATTCAGAACAAGCGCGTTTCTAGGAATAAAAATAGGGCGTGGCCTTAAAATTTGTTTGTCTTTGACGCAAATTGGGGACCCGTCAAGGCTTCTGTCCCGGCAAGGTGTCTGGCATCCCAAGATGAAAATATTTGTCAACATCCCCCCTACAAACGCTGATATGACCATGCAAGTTTGTTTCGTTTTGTAATCTTATTTTAAATCAAATATATATAATTTTAAGCTACACAACCGTAACTTGTCTAATTCGATTATTTACAAAATATCCAAATTAAATTAAATTAAATCAAATCATTAAGTTTTGCATACGTTGCATGTACAGGTTGCCCCGTCCCAGTTTTTGATTAATCTTTTGAATTGGATCAGATTTTCTGCAGATTTTATTTCCTGTGGTTAGCCATTCCAAATTTGTGGTCCGAGGGACCTGAGGGTGTTTGTACCGAAAGTTGTTTGGTTGGGCCTGAAGTTCTGCAAGTCTTATGGACGACGTGAGGATCGATCAGTGGTTCTTTGTTCGAAAATATTTTGCATGAATTCAGGATTTAATCTTTTTACAGTTTTGAAAATTTCAGTACAGAGGTTCCTTTGCCGATTAACATGCATTGTGCATTTTTGTGATTTGCAAAGCAGATCTCTATAAGATGAATCATGGTCATCGTAAAGGAATCGTAGGGCTCGTTCCTGTATTTTTTCGATCTTCTCCGTAGATCTAGCCGTGGAGAAGAACCACACTTAAGGGCAGTAGTTAAAGTTAGAGAAAACAAAGCTTTAGACCAATACCTTTTTCTCATTAAAGCCAATAAAAGATTTTGAGCACATCGAAATGAAGTCTTTTGAGCACATTTAGCTGGGTTGCTGCCTTTTTACAAAGTTCGGATATGTGAATGTCAAAATTAAGTTTGTGATCTATAGTTACGCCAAGCAACACTGAAGCTTCAGAATTTATTGTTTCCCTTGAAATGCTATGTCCAATGGTACTTTTTTCATCCTTTCTGACGAGAAGAGCATGAAATTTTTCTGGGTTACCAATCATTTCATTCTGATTGAGCCAGGCAGGGCGATGCTTGCTTCTTTTTCCAAGACGTTAATTAATTGAGGCAGGTCTTTTGAAAAATGTGTTAAAGTGTTGTTATCTGCGTAATTCACAAGAGAAGCCTTTTTAATGAAATAAAACAGGTCATTAATGTAGAAAATGAAAAGAATAGGGCTAAGGACTGATCCTTGCGGTCCCCCTGATAAAACAGATTGAAAATCACTGTAAGTATCATTTATTCGAACTGCTTGTAAGCGCCTTTTTAAATATGAGTAAATGAGGACTAGAGAACCTTCATCAAAACCATAAGCATGAACTTTTGCAATAAGAAGGTCATGCGGAATACAGTCGAAGGCCTTTGATAAATCCATCAGTACTGCTCCGACAATATAATCATTGTCCAATTTGAGTTTCCAGTCTTCAAGTATTTTAATTTAGATATGCTGTGTACTGTAAGCCTTCCTGTAGGCAGCAACGAAAGCGGACAGGGCTTTATCGAGATGAGGACTAATTTGATATTTTATTATTTTTTCGTATATCTTGGAAAAAGTGTGTTGAGCACACTAACTGGACGGAAATTTTTTTCTACTGTTCGAACAGGTTCGCCTTTGTCAAGAGGTGTGACTGCAGCCCGCTTTCCACGGTCTGGAAATCTACTATTTTTCATGCAAGAAACACTGCAATGAAAAAACTTCTTCTTCAAAGGGCTTTATGATCTACCTGCTCTCAGTTGGATGATTCAAATGATTCAGTTGGATGGCTGATCGTTAAAACTGCTGGTGAAAGGCTGAAAGAAATTTACAGCTTCTGTGACTTTGTTAATGACTTTTTCTCCTTGTTTCTTTGTCTAAATTACCTATTCTGTATGCCTTTACCTATAAGATTCTTTGTCGAAAAATGATTTAAGGTTAGCATTATAGGCAATTTCGAGCGAAGGTCTTAAATCTGGAATCGTCCATCGAATTGTAGAATTGATTTTCCTTCCCTCTCCAAAATAATGTCATCGCTTGTCTGACGCATGATACCATGATAATTTCAAGCAGATGTATCGCAATGAAATTATAAGATAGCCCTTTGTAATTTTGACAAAAGAGTTTGGACCTGGCCCCACTCCCTAGCATGTGTTCCGGCCCCCAACTTGAAATTTGGGAGTCTGGACGCAGAATAAAAATACATGAATGAAATAAGTATTTTCTATTCTGTGGCCAGAAGCAGAGGCTACCCTGTTCCCTGCTCCGCGGCGCCTGCTCTTGCCCATCCAACCTCGCCCCCTTCCCCAACAGTGGCGATTATACAGGGGGGCCAAGGGAGACCACGCCCCCCCAGAAATTTTCTTTGCCCCTTGTTTTGCCCCCCCCAGTTTTTTCAAAAGTTTCTATTAAAAAATCAATGTTTTCTGCCGAAGCTGTTCAATCGTTTTTTCACTTTGTTAGGGTTGCTCTCTGTATTTTCCTCAATGCTATCTTTATTGCATTTATTTAACAAACTAGGGGCCCTGATAAGCGTTTTGGTTTGTAACCGAGGTGGACATTTTGGCTCCTTTCTAATAAGTTACAAAGTAAAAACCAACTGTTACCAAGAGTTCTGTAGTTACCAAGAAAAACTCATTCTTGGCAATCATTTAAATTCTATATTTGCTATATATTATCACGAATATCCACCTTCTTGCGGTGGGGTGCGTAGGTTCAGCCCAATACTATATACTATCTATATACTATCCCAGGATACCTTGGCAATCTACTATTGCTTATCGAAATTGTATGACTTGAAATTCTGTGTAACAGAATGATTTGCTTGATCTCATAAGACATAACTTCTATGGAAAAATTTTACCAATCAACCTCACAAAGCTATCAGACTTTCATTTTTTAGAAGTTTAGTTCTTCTGTTGGAAACCATTATCATGATGCATTATTGTTAAACAGATAAAACTCGGTGGAGTAACAGAATAAAGTTACTTTTAGTGAAATAACAAACGGTCCCAAACCTTTAGGGGCCCCCAGCAACAATTTTTCTTTGCTATTTTCCGAGGGGAAACAGCTGCTCTTTACACCACTAATAAAACTATTTAGCAAAATGATAACAGCCTTGATAGAGCTGTACCAAGGACATACTTATCTATGGGGAGCTAAGAACTGGTGCCTTGTAGCTAGCTAATTTTGAGCCACCACGCGACTGCTTTACATCAGCCACGTAGCTGCAGGGGGGGGGGGCACGGGGGACTCTGCTCCCCCAAATGAAAATTTTGAAAACAGCTTCCCCCTCTGAAAATTTGGCACATTTATAATTCCATGACCTTGATTTTGTCCTTATATATCTGTTTGTTAAATATCTGTTTTCTTGTTTTAAAGCCTGCCCCCCTCAGGTATGGTTCTTGCTCGAGTTTGCCCCCCCCCTAGCCGACACCTACAGCTACGTGGTTGCTTTACATTCTACTAGTTCCCAAAGTAATAGCTAGCGTTGGCTCCTATGACTGAAAGTTTGGCCCCCGGTTAGACCCCCCAGATTTTTAAGGCTAGAATCGCCACTGTTCCCCAAACTCTCCAGGCAGTGTTGTTTAGTGTGATTTGGTGAAGGTAGCCAACATCGTGTTCTGTAACAAAATCTCCCCAACATTTAAGAGGCAGTGTTGCCAAAAAATTGATTTTTGCCTCATTATTTCATCATTTTGTGGAGGACACGAAAGTGACAACGTGGCGCATGCGCTTTTAGAAATAAAGGACAGTGTCATTCAAGATGGCGACTCTTGGAAGCTAACAAAACAAAATGGAATATTTGACAGTGTATTTCGTTCTCTTCTCTTTGCTGTTGGACTTAATTACCAGTCTTCCAGAACCTGGGAAAGCAAAACTAGAGCTTTCTAATGTAAGTAAAAATTTCTGCTGTTCTAAGATTCTTGCCTAGTTACAGATAGATTTGTAGTCTAGGGCTATCTGACTAGGCCCAGTTCTGTTTTCTCAACGGGGATCAACATTAGGCAAAATAAACAGTCCAACGGTCATTAAGATGAGCTTTAGATGCATCAGCCAGGGGTTTTTTTGGGAGGTACTACAGTTTTACGTGAAACGGAACATGAATTCTGCTTATTGTAAACAACCTTCCATGTAAACTCATTTTTATACTATTACTAGCTAGATTTATTTTATTTTCATATAAAGTTTCATTTTAGTAAGACTGTTTTACGTTGAATTGTAGGTTTAGCAGTACCAAGAAATAATTTGATCTGACTTTCATATCGCAAAGAAATAATTTCCCTAATTTTCATAATTTCTTAACTCCCCCAAAGAAAATATCCACCTCAGTTTTGCAGATCCAAAACTACAACTAAAACATGCCATTCTGCTATCAGGCAGCAGGCACCTTAGGACTCAATTGGTAACATTTTCAATAGGCAAGCAGGAGTGATTGGGCAACCTCAACAGTCATGTGTTCATGTTTCTGATTGGCCTTTCGATCTACAACTGGGTACATATATTTCTTAGCTTGGTGTTTTGATCTATGTTCTGACATTTTTCACTCTGAATAGTGTCAAACAAAAAGCTTAAGAATAGGCCTTCTCGTTTCATGCGGGCAATTGCCTTCGCCCTCGCCATTGTCCTCGCATTTAATAAATTAAAGGTTAGGCAGTCCTGGTTAGATAATACCCTAATTTCCCCTCAGGCCTTGAAGGTTTTCATTTAACAGATAGTGATGAACGGACGATCACCCTTGCAAGCTGATCCACATTTTTTACCGAAAAGGCCTGTTAAGAAAGACTCAAAATCTTTGCTTTTTTCAAAGCCAAATTGGCAATAAGTGATAGGTAGGAGCACAGCTAAATGATGCGAGGCCATCCAGTTTAAATGAACCCAATATATATATATAAATATAATTGCAGTCACGCAGTTGTTACATAAAGATTTCTTGTAGGTTCTGCTTCTGCTGCTCTGCATATTGTTTCTAAAATTCTTCTCCATTCTTTGGGGTCTTTTGCTGTGGATCTTATCTGTTGAAATCTCCTTTGTTCTGGATAGTTGGTATTGGAAATAATTTTCCATTGAGCTCACTCTGGTGATATCTTTGTTTAATGTTGTTAAGATAGCTTCTTGAGGCCTTGCAAAGATATGAAATATAAATCCAGTATGAAAACTAAAATATATAAGTAAAATATGAGTAAGCCAAAATTTTGCCTTGGCATGTGGGGCTTACTCAGAGTAGATACATCTGATGATGAAGCCCTATAGGCCATGGCAAAATATAAACAGAGCTTTATCTTCGTGTTTCTTTTGTCCTATCTATCATTTGTTTTCAGTGCCTGTATAGCTGGGATAACTTGCACAGAGGGGACAAGCAAAATTTTTCAAAGTTCTATGAAGTTAGCATAGTGCTTTGTTAGGCATTTCATGCCACATATGTCACAGAAATTGAATATGCATAATTTGTGTTTGGCATTGCCTATAGGGCAGCCTGTCTTTTACCTCAATAAGTGTAACTCTTAAATCGATGGAACTCCTAGTTTTTTATAGAGTATTTACATATAAATTGATCAGCTAACAAATTGCGCAGCTTTCTGGCACTACTTATCACCCCGCCAACCTCCCATGTATGTGATTTTGATCTTTTTATTATTTCTTTCACAGGATCAATCATATGGCATGTTCAAAAAAGTTTCATTTAAAAACAGTCAAGTGGTTATGATAGGAGGTACATTTTTTATTATCTTTTCAGTTTTAGTTATGTTTCTGTAAAGCTCAATTTGCTTCTCAATATAGCAAAATGCACCAGAAACATGGTAAGAGTATGTTCAGATTGTGTCAGTCTAGGATATCCTGTGTGAATGTGAATCACCCACATTTCAGTAAACATGGTTTAAAAGCTTTTCTTTTGGAGTTAATGCATTCAATAGGCATGAGAAAGATTTGTTGAACCACATCCAAAGGGGTTAGGGCATCTTCGGTGCTGACAAAATCATTTCAGGATTACAGTTATGTCTGTTGTTTCCTCCGGCAGAAGCAGATGGGTTGGGTTGATAATAGCAAGATTTAAACAATTAAGCAGTTTTTGCACAATTAAATTCGCACAGTAAAAATTAACCAAATTCCTATCTTTCTGATCTCTTTGTTTATGATCTCTCTGTGTTTGGTTTCTCAATGACTTTGAATGCATTCCTTTGCACTTTCCTTAAGTAAAAATTTTTGTTTAAAATTAATCAGAATTTTCAACGAAAATCTATTGCCCGTTTCTGAAGGTTGAAGGGGTGGGTGCTTATTAGAGGGGGTGCTTATTTAAGGGGGGCGCTTGTTTGAGGCATTACGGTATGGCTCTTTATGAAGCCCATAATTTATTTGAAAATAGATTTTCGTTGAAATTTATTTGATTTTTGTGACAAACTGGATCAACCTTTCATTGTTTCATATCAAATCAGTCTAATGTGAACAGAAGCCCTATCATATATGAAAGACAAGACACAACAATCAGCTGTCTAGTGTATTGTGAAAGTTGAAAAAAAAGTTTCGAAAAAGTTTTATCAAATCAATATTTTCCATATCTAGAGATATGCATTGTTACTGTGAAACTGAGAATCTGCTAAGACCGTCATATTTTCATCAACGCTTTTACTCATGAACCCTGAGAATCAGAATGGAAATGAAGACAGAATCCTTTTGATTTAGATTAGAACTGAAAATCTTATTGCTTAATCATGATAATATTTAAATTTTTTAATCGCTGTAACTGAGTAGCAAATTATTTTTTCAGTCAAATGCGATTCAACAGACAAGGAGTCTCCAGAAATTGAAGTTAACTGGAGGCTAAAGTACAGCCCTTGTGCAGAAAAATTCATCAACATCCTAGAAGTAAGACACAGACCAGTAACATATTTTAGTGTCAATTTGTCAACAAAGGGATTGCTAGTTTGTAGCATACTTGAAGCTTTCAGATTTGGAAGATTCTTGAAACTTGATGATGTAGTTGTTATTTAAGTGAAAATTGGTTGCTCAGTGTATATTGGTACAGTTTATTCGTTGATCGGTACAGAAAGAGCCTGGTTACCGCTATTCGTTGAATTGGCCCCTATTTTATTAAGGCCCTTCTTTTGTTAAAGCCCCTCTTTTGTAAAGGCCCTCTCTTGAAAATGCATCAGCCTACTTTGGTATTAAAAAGCAGTTGATGTGCTTCACCTTAACATGCTGTTTTTTGTTTTTAATAGTTCCCTGTGGATGTTTGATCCCGATACCTGCACTAGAGAAAAAAAACTCGATTTTAGTTTATTTAAACCCGGACATGTTATCAAACCATCCTCATTCAACAAGAAACTGTTTTTATTTCCTGGAACTCTACACCTAGCACTTTTAACTCAATAAACTGCTGAAGACAAAGATCTCTTGAAAAATCAGGAAAGATATACTTCTTCGGTTTTCATTTTAGGCTCCCATTGCATATGTCACTGAATCGGAAGGAGAAATAATTGGCATGACAGGAAAAATAAGATGCAATAAGTTTGTAAAAGCTGAAATTTCAAAAATTGCTGTAAGTTCTTAAAGATCTTCTTGTACAGTACCAACTTTTGCTTAAATTGTCCTATTTATAAGTTTATGGACAAGGGATAAAAAATTTGTTCAGTCAGTCTTATTTATTGGTTTTTACTTTTTCTATAAATAATAATTTCACTTTTCTATTTAAATCATAATGAACCTTTGGTGATCATTAAAAGATGGTGCTTGTGATACATAATTTGACTGTATGTTCAATCGACCATCAAATACCAAAGGAAATTTATTTGTTCATCTGCATAGTTTTTCGTTAATATTTCTACCATTTTGTTCTTTATATGACGTTAATGGTTCTCAAAGATTTCTATTCTATGCTTGAACTGTTTATTTGTCACATCACCAGAAATGGAATGGAAAAATAATTTCAAGAGACAAAGCAGTGAAGGTTTGTAGAATCTCTTGCAGTGTAATTAATGTTTCTTTTAGTTTCTGCATTATCGAGAATATATTTCTAGCAGCCATAGTGACTTAATTATTGCATGTCATCTGGTACAGCAGTGTGAATTCACCTTTAGCTGAAAAAACGTTTTTTTGTCAGTTAAAGGTCTCACCGTTACTGCAATTTCATTCAGATTTATTTAAAGATTACAAAAGTCCAATTTTTTCATCTTCCAGCAAAAAGTTAAAACTCACTCACCAAATAGTACTCATAATGCTACGGACAAATTGGTAAAGAAACCAAATCAAAGGAAAACACGATCTGTAGTGGTGAGAATGCCAACACTTTAGTGGATTTTTCTTGTATCTTAGTTATTTTCAATGATAAAGGAAGAATATTATTTGTTTGAAGATTCTTCCAAACTTTCAACACAACTTAAGTAGCTGCTTTGAGGTCTGATATGCTTATGTGGATATTCTTTCAACCTTTTTAAAATTGTGTTTCTATATTTCATACTGTCCTTCAGCGAGGTTGTAAAATTATTTTTGAAGTAAATTATCTCTCAGTAAAACTTCCTTAATTAAGTTGTTGCTTTATATTTTAGAATTCTGAGGTGAAGACCCCCATGTCAGGAGCTTATATGCTTGTTATTAATGCACGAGCCAAGCCAGAGACAAACTTTAAGCTTGTCAGTAAGTTGATTTAACGTGTTTTTTTCAAACATTGCTTTGGGGCACAAGTATTGACGATGTTGCATGTCTGTCCAAATTAAACCGAAAGCGGAAAGATTTTTTTTCTGGTCACACCCTGTTTTCGTTCTTGGAACCGCCCTTGCTCTGAAATTGAGGGCCAAAATGGGCTTTAATCGTTGCTTTGTTGCGTGGTTAAAATGTTCACCTTTCAAAATCTTTCTAACAAACCTTCTTACTCATAAATTTTCAAAACCTTTGCAGTACCACTTTACGATCTTTTTAAGGCAAAAGCGTCGATAACATCACTAAGTCAATCTTTTTAGCTACATTGCCTTCAATCCCCCAGCACGTTCAAGTCATTCCTAAGCCATCATCCCTTGGCGTTTTGACGGACCCAATTTGCTAGCCGAAGTTCAAGATCGTCGAAAAGACGTTTTCAACGAAAACAACACATAATTAGTGTCAATTACTTTAATATTTAATTTCAGGTCTTTTTGGGCCCTTACGGGGGAAAACCTTACATGGAATGAGGCATTATCGTTAAAAAATAAAAATATCATCTCAATTTTGAGCACGGGCCCCAGCTGAACCCCCCCCCCCCCCGTCGGTGCTATTGCCTTGAAAGATAGGTTTTTTTCTTTGCAATTAGTAAAAATTGTCTGTTGGATCAAGAGGCAATGGTGACATTTGACCTCCCTGTATGTGCTAGTTGTTTGTCACCCTTCTTTTTGCGCGTATGCCAGTTCTTCCATGTTTACGTGACTTTCTAGTTGCTGTCGAAATTAAAGGAAAACGCGGCTATTTGTCTGCAACAGAATGGCCTCTCCTTCCGGTGAGCACGTTAAATTTTGTTATGCTATGTGAAACGGAGATACAAAACTGTAGAATAGCAAATTGTTGTTATGTATTCTTGAATTAAAATACAAAATATACCGTTATCTACCTACTTAAATTGCCCTGTCGCTTAATTGCCTTAGTTTTAACTTAGATTTTATTAACATCGTATTTTTCAATATAAAATGATTTTGCTGCGTGGATTTATGTGTCAAACTAGCCTCCCTATGACACGTTTTCGTTACGACTTTCGAAACAATTAGCTTCCTGTTTCATTTTTTCTTCAAATTTTTTTCCCACTTTAACACAGTGGTTTTGGATTTTGCCAATCAGAGAGCTGCATGTTAATCGCCTATTTTAGCATAGCTATTGCAAACCTTTTGGACTGTGTAGGCGACACAGTCTTCGGTTTTGAAATAGCTAGGATTTGTCGTTATACAGTTTAGTAAGGAGAGAGATTAGTTACATAATATACTATAAATATATCTATATATACTATAATATATATCTCGGGGGAATCTTGTCCCCATCCTCTCGCACATCCTCTCACATAAGCCTCTCTCAAAGCACTGTTTTAACGTCTCTTTGTATTGATTTTGGTGTTTAGTTCTTTGGTGTAATGTCATTGGTTTACGCGGTATATGCTGCTGGCTGGTTCGTTGCATCCTGTTTGAACTGGAGGGATCTCTTGCGAATCCAGGTATGCCGGATTCCCTTACTTTTCAGATGCTTTGGAATGAAAATATGATATTAAGCTCAAGGTTGTCACTCTTCAATTTCATTTTTAAGTTGAATTTCAGTTTCATTCAAGCAGCGCCCAGTATTTAGAGGACACTGCTTGGCCAAAAAGGAACCAATCTTGTGTTTTTTCCTTATAGGTTAATGTAACTACATTGAGGCTAAAAACTAATCTCCTTCTCCGCTTTTTTTGTGAAGGGGCTACGTGATAAAAAAAGACTTTTTTATAAAATTATTGTGTTTTCATCACATCGTACAGATTTGCAGCATTAACCCAAACCTATATAACATTTAGAATCGCTATGTAGTTTTCGGTTTTTCAATCTTATTTATTCTGTAATGTGTTTATTTACAAATTTTGTTTCTTAGTTTTGGATTGGCGCAGTTGTTGCTCTAGGTAAGTGCATTCCAAAATTACAGTGCAAACCTGTTCCAAATACTCATGTTAGCTGTATGCTGCTTTTTTCCGCAGCGCGCTGCTCTTTCTGCAATATACACCGCCTCGAACTTTTTATAGCAAACCGAGATTCAAATAGCTAAAGCAAATTAAATGGAAGTTTTAAGATGAACGTTTGGGTGGGAAATCCTGGGAAATTTATCAAGGTAGAGTAGTGAAAATGAAAAATGCAAATATATCTTCTTATTTTTAAACCATATCGAACACTGCGAAAACATGAAAACTGAGCTATGGCGATAGGAGTACCTGTAATGTATTTTGCAAATGGCCTAATTTTGGATAACATTTCGTAACATGTTGTAACAGAATACAATCGATAAAATCTGTCAGTAGCCTTTAACTCCATCTCTTCCAGCCAATTGCGATGTTGTTTAGGGAACAAATATTACAGCAACATGTTCAAAACAACATTTCATCTCCTCGTTGAATGAAAATACCAAAATTTCTGCGACAAACAGTCGTAAAAAGTGACCCACCAGTGTCCAATAAACCTTCATTAAAAATTGCTGTAAAAGTGTCATTTTTCGCTAGATTCAAGGATAATAATGGTCTTCTGGGATTTCATGCATCTAAATGTGATCTTGCCAAAGTTTATTAAATATATCATGTGGCGTTTAAAAGTAACCTGCTGCAAAAGTTTTTGATTGAGTTCAACAAGTTTTACAAGGGCTTCAAAGCTTCAAGACTGTCCAAATAGAAACTCACTTTTTTGATATTTTACAAAGATGTTTTTCTCAAATTGAAATAAAAATTGTTGCCAATTGTTTTAAGTTTTGTTTGATTGAGTTTTAATCATGGAATAACGCTTAATGGCATCATAAAAGTGGTTTGAGTTTTGAACAGCATGTTATTCTCAACGCTGACGCCATTATTAATTCGTCGAAGTGGTGCAATACTTTTGCTCACCTAGTGTACAGTTTTGTATTTATTTCTTGGTTTTTGCTACCCAATGATAAGGGCTTGATTTTTGCTTCCCCAATACAGCTTCTTTCCTGCTTTTAGGGATGCTAGAGAAAGCGCTCTTTTTTTCGGAGTATCAAAATGTCAACCATACTGGCGAAGAGTGTATGTATTGCTATAAACTTTTCCTTCACTTTGATCATTCTAATTGCTTTCTGCTGTCCTAGGACCTTTCTTATTGTCTTTAATTAATTAAGTGTATCTACGGTAATTTTTGCCACAGCATTGACGTAATACAATAGTATTGCTTTTTAGCCAATGGCCTTGTGGTGTTTGCAGAACTGATTTCTTGTGTTAAAAGAACTTTGGCAAGGATACTGGTCATCATTGTCAGCATGGGATTCGGAATTGTTAAGTATGTCATCGTGTTTTGCTTCCCCTGTAAAACTTACTTTGTAATTTGTAGAACCCTAGCTTTTTCAATTCCAATGTTAAGTGGCCTCTCCTGCCAAAATTAGCGTTGTCCCCTATATAAGTAAATCTTATGTCTTTCTTTTTTCTTCTTCAATATTTTGTTTAGTTTTCCGTTGCAAATGCGACAATTTTAATAATTGAATTACATAACGAGGAAATGAGTTTTTGGTTGGTGAAACTGTAGCGTCATAGTGTATTTCACACGAACTCACTTCTATGTTTGAAGCCAAGAAATCGTACGTCAGGATTTGCAGGATGGGCAATCCAGTGATAGCATTTGCGGCTCTCTTACAATAAAGCATACGTTTAAGCTTTGAGAATGTAAGTATGAAGCTCTCAGTTGTTTTCCGATCTCGGATAAGGGGGCAAAACTTTCTTTCTGCTCAAGCCAAGATACCCGAGGGAAATGCTGCAATGCAGCGTAGGATAAACAGGTCACAGTTGCACTCGAAATGATCAAATCAAACGAACAGATTCAGAATTGTAGAATTCATTTGAATTATTTTCAACTTAACAACTTGTTTTCCTTGGTTGAGGCGCACTGGAATTTTCGAGCAAGCCAAATCTCGGCGAACGAGTGTCGAACAACCTGACGATGCAGTTTCACCAAGTCAGTTTTGTTCTCAGAAAAGGGAAGCTTTATATCTTAATGAATTATTGGGATTTTGTTATGAACTTTGAAATTTTTAACCCAAATCATCTGAGATTTTTTTGTTCAAGATCTGTTTCTTCTTTTTGAAGGCCTCGGCTTGGTTCTGCACTTCCGAAAATTCTTGCCTGCGGATTGCTTTTCTTCATTTTGGCCACAGTCGAAGGCTGCTTCAGGGCCCTCAGTGTAAGTGACTCTCAACTTTTACTTCTCCATTTCTCCTTCTCCACTTTTACTTCTCCATTTCTCCTTCTCCACTTTTACTTCTCCACTTCTGCTTCTCCACTTCTACTTCCAAATTATACTTCGGTTTTGTTTTCATTTAAATTCAGGTTTCCTTCATATTTTTAAAAATCATTTATGTCCAGCTTCAACATCATATTCGAAGCCATATATAGTACCTACATTACTGTAGTTATTTGTTACCTCCAGCCACTGATTGCATTTACTTCATGAAGATTGCATTTATTTCATTTCAGCCAAAAGCAGCACCCTCAAGGCAACAGATGATAGCCGCCATACCATTGGTTGTTCTCGATTCTGTGCTTTGTTGGTGGATATCCTTTCTGTTACGAAATCTTTACACCTTGAAACCTAGCATAAATTGTAGCTCAAAGACAGCGATATTTTACATTGATGAGCCTAGTTTTAAAGTATTTTTTTAAAATGTTTGATTCTAGAACCTTTTTCCTTGATGTTTTTAATTATTTAATTATTTCATTATTTCAAATTAATTGATTTGAATCACCATAACCCATATTTTAAAACTGATTTAGGTTGTCTTGAGTTGCTTTATCAATTACACGTATTTTAATTTCCTTGACGCATTTTAACGTTTTCACTGCACTGGTTCAAACAACAAGGACCCTACGCATCAGAAAGAATGTTGTTAAACTATCACTTTATCGACACTTCACAAACACTTTAATATTTGCAGTTGTAGGTATGTTCATCGTAGTTTTATAATTATAACTTTGATGTTCTGGTTTTTTACGATGCTCGCAATAATCTTAGACAATATCTGCCTTTTGAAAAAACCTTCCAGCAGTTCATTATGTGTCATTTTTCTTCTATATTCCTTTTCTCTAGCTTCTGTTATTTATATGGCTTGGTCCATCAAAACGCATACATATGGCGATTGTACGGTAAGATCTTTATTGGTGTCTTACACTGAAAACATACCCTTTAACAATTCTTTCACAATGCATTATTGAAGTTACGAATTATATATTAGTTAAGGAAGAATCACACATCTCTTGTTGTTGGTATGTCGATTACTTTTTTTGTTAGCTACAGAAAAGCTTTGCTTGCCATAACCCTTTGTACGTTTTAATTGTCAAATTGTACGTTATAAACAATTTCCCAATGTCAAGCGATGTGGATTTTCTCATCGCAGGACTGGACTGAGGTTTGGCTGGACGATGCCTTCTGGCCTTTTCTCTTTTCTCTCGTTCTCCTGGTGATAATGATTCTTTGGAGACCCACTAACAACAATCAAAGGTATTTGCCAATCCAATTAAGAGACGCTTAAAGTGGCACTAAATCATTAAGTATAATTTTATTCCTTATCCAACTCTGGTTCTCTTTTCGGCACAGTCGTTTATCGATTCATTTCTGCCTATTTACATTACTGCTTCTGTGATATTTGCATCACATTTCTGTAGACGCCGTGATTTCTTTGTCAATTAGACGCTTCCATCCAGCTTTGCGAGTAATTGCAAAGATACACAGAACAGAGTTTATCTGACAATTAAGTTTACACGCGAACGATCCAACAAATTTATACATTTAAACGTACATACACACAACTTCAAAACACATGCTAGAATCCATAAAAAACCAAATAATCTATTTAATATATTCTTGACCAGCGACCACGACGGATCTGCTGGGAAGATGAAACATTCAAACAGACTATGAAGCAGTTACCTGACAAAACGGGGTTGCAAAACGCAAATTACTGTTTTTCCGCAACCACCAAGGCATATTTTTAATCATTTTTACTTAGTTCGTTACATTCTTATCAAGGCTTTTTTCTATTTGATCTTTGCTAGTTGTTTGGCGTTGTTCCTTGCCTATAATATATTTTGACCATATTTTTACATTATCTTTTGCCTTCTTTTCCAGATACGCATTCACGCCACTTGTCGACGCAAGTGATGATGAGGATGAAACCAATCTCTCCGAAGCTTACGGTGAGCTGTAATCCACTTCGATATAGATTTGAAAATTACCGAAATGGAACATGATTCGTTTGCGTTATTTTTCATGATTTTTTTATACTTTTGATATAGTTTAAACTTTAGAGTTAGAGGTTTAGAGTTAGAGGACACTCCGCAGGGCATGCGGCTGTCAAATGCCGAACTGCTTCAGTAAAAATACGTTGATAGGGTACGTCTAAAGCCTGAAAACTATGCGTTGATTATTCCTAGATGGGATGAAACTACGTGGCATGAAGAAAGAATCAAATGGAAACCTAAAGAACAGAGCTGCGGTAAGCAAGCCTTCCTTTTTATACAATCAAGTATAAAAAAGTTTTGTACAATAAAGTACAATAAAGTAGGTTCAATAAGTTTCGCAGCTTTCGCGTCGGATCTGATTGATTTTTAACAAACTGATACTTTTTATCGTAGGACGATGATTTGAAGTGGGTAGAAGAGAACATCCCCTCGATTCCAACTACGTATGTATAGATCATCTGTGTTCATCATTCTATTCGACTTTGGGTAATGACCTTAGTCCGAAACTTGATTGTTATTCAAGCCTTATATCCTTTTCACGTAAATGCCAAAACTTCAATTTAATTTCTATGTATTAACCTAATTACCTGTGCTAATATTTCATTTACCTTTGATTGGTATTTCCATAGCCAGATTTTGCTTAACATTATTTCCTTTTTCACCATAGTGTTCTTCCAAGTTTGGATTCAGACGAGGTAAGATTCGTAGGCCTTTTTTTCGTAGGCTTTTTTTTCGTAGGCCTTTTCTTGTTATTCCTTTGCCAAATCTACTTCAAATCTATTTAACTGCTTGTAAAAACGCTGCCTTAAATAATAGCAATTTTAACAAAAGTGTTTGTTTGTATTAGACGACCAAATAAACGAAAGTTTTTATTTAGTTAATATGGTCATAGAAATTTGCCTCAGAATGTTAGGGCTAGTATATTTATTTTCCTGTCCTTATTTCTAGGAAATTATGACCACAAAGCTGGAAATGTCAAAAATGGAATAAGCCAAATGCAGCTTGTAAGCATGCATCTTTTCTGTCATTAGAAGCCTTAAACAGACCTGCAAATAGGGGCATGGTTTCAGGGATATCGTTTGAGCTTCTCGTTTACTGTCAGATTTTCGTTTATATTGTTGAGTGCAACTGCTAATGAAAAATAAACGATTGTTTTCTTCTAGAGTGTATCTTCCTATCCTGTACACATGCTGCAAGCGACTTGAGAAATTTCATCGTTATTTGACTCGTAACTGAGCGAGTAACGTCTAAAATAATGTCATTGATACCTGTTTAAATAGTTATATATTGTCTGAATCTTTTAATTTGAATCCTAAACTGCTAAAACAGTATTAATTTGAAGTAATCATGGTCAAACTCTTCTTTATTTAACTATTGTCTTTAATCTTACACATGTAGTATCATCGGGATACTTATGTTCTGGTTCACTTCATATCATTGGCTAAATTTTTTGTGAAGACCGAAGTTTTCTTTCTTATTTCATCTTATTGTTTATCCAAAATCAAGGAATGTTTCTATGGCTAGCATACTAGATGGTTATTCACGAATTATGATACTGAAGATAATAGATTCAGCAGAGCTTTCACTTTGTCTGTCTTTTATGTTGAAGAAATACGCTTTAGCATGGCTTGAATACATTAAATGAGTTGCTTAGCGCTGCATTAAATGACATAGCACTGCATGTAAGATGCGTTATTTGAAATAATGAAATGAATCATATTTTCAATTTCTCTGCTTTGATTGACCTTCATAACAGTAGCCATGCAAATGGTCGCGCGTAAACTCTCTTCTCACGCAAATGGTTTGGAATTGGCCGTAACTCACAAAGCTGACATTTTCAAAAATTGTTCACTGAACAAATTTCGGAATTGAATGGAAAAATGTCGGACAATGTAAAAAATTCATGATTTAAACGATAAATCAATGAAAACATTTAATTTTATATCGTAAATTCTGAAGCTAAATTTTTACCTGAAATTATGGAAAAACTCAAAAGCGTATTTAAAATCCCTTTTAAGTTTATTTGGTGCCAATATGTGTTGAAAAAATAGCAAAAAGTGGTAAAAAATTTCATGTAAAAAGCCAAGGCTATAGGCTTTGAAAAAGTTCAATTTTATATCGCAAATTCTAAAGCTAAATTTTTTCTTCGAATAGTTAGGAAACCTAAAAGCGTATTTAAAATTCCTTTTACGGCTGTTTTATGCCAATTTGTGTTGAAAAAAATAGCAAAAAGTGGTAAACAAATTTCAGGCAGAAAAAACCAGGGAGCTAAATTTTTACTTGAAATCATGAAAAAAGCCAAACAACGTATTTAAAACTCTTTTTTAAGGTTGCTTTATGCCAATTTGTTTGGAAAAATGGCAAAATGTGATGATTAAGTTTCACGCAAAAGGCCAAGGCTATAGGCTCTTTCTTCAATTCATGGATGAATGTTGACATTTCAGTTTAAACTGGGATCAGTTTCTGTTGAATATTTTTGACAACTTTGTCCAATTTGTCCGCTTTATTGAAATGCAGAACCAGCGTTTTTAGTTCTGGTACAAATGTATCAAAGATTTTAGGTCTAAATCAAAAAAAGCAACCACACACGTTCTTTTTCGGCAGGATTTACAGGATTTGGCAACAACAATAGTTACAACTAGGTGTTGTATGTGAACAGGCGTGATGGACTTAAAATTAGTTTCTAAATGCGCTGCTATATGGTTTTGCATTCTTTGACACTGCAATTTACATATAAAGGTTCACTAAAAAACACATAATACCTCAGACATTGGAAATACATATTCCTATATATTCTATTAATTGTCTATCACCTTTGTTTTTGAAAAATTCATTGTTTTGATTGCAGCACAGTGGGCGACGAACGACTTGTCTTCAACTGAAAAAATGAGCATTGATAAGTGAAAAACATTGCATAGTTATCATCGTTTTCGACGTGTAAATCGTCATTGGAAAAAGATATGAGAGTTAGGCTGAGACACTTAATAGTCTGGTATATGATTCAAAATAGGTATTGTGTCAAGGGAAAAGAGACCCACACAGGATTAACATATGGGTTCACTGAAAAAATATTTTTGTTTAAAGCAACATGGTCAGCGAACATCTTGTGCATAATATAAACTTCAATCGGAGAAAAAATCTACATTATTTCAAATAAACCCCGGTTTAATTGGTCTAAAACTTTAGTCACATTGAATTAAAGCCCAATATTATAAGACTTGCAAAGGTTTGCCTTTAATTTAAGGAACTTGCAATAGAAACATGGATCTGTCCCAACATGCATAAAACCGCTTTTGTTGTGCCTTTCATTCGCTATTCTGGAAAAGACCGATTATAAGTATTTCTAATAGAGCTCTCTTTAAATCGTCAGTTAAATGAATTTCGAATCGCAAATTTCTCTATTGACAGTTAATTCACACATTATTTGCATAATTTAGATACAAAATGATTATACCTGAAACTGATGCAGTTAAACGTAGCCAGTCTTCAAGCCATTCCTTCATCAATGGGATAGCAAAGGAGTATTTGTCAAGTCCTCGTGCATGGCAGGCCTGCAGTAATAACAAAATGCATGGGAAAGAGTTTCATATCCAGCCCTTAAAAATTAGGTCGGCATTTGGCAGTATAACTGCCGATTTGCTTTCTCCCCAAGACGGCAGAAGACGTGTTTGTCAAAGAGATGAAACATCAGAATGAGCTATCTTCAAACTACCCCTTTCCTCCCAATAAAAATTGTTGAAAAAATCGGTCGTCTGTGGTACAAGTCAAAATGACAGCCACCCTGGAAAAGTCATTGCATCACGAGCATCGGTGTTGGGTCACCATATTAATGTTGTTGGTCTAATACCAAACTTTGTTTTCGTTGTTACCATACGCGCTTACAGCCTATATTACATTTGGGTCGCCATTCTCCTGCCAATCTAAATTCGAGTTTTTCAAGGGCTGCATATCATAGTGGAGACAAAAAAGTCTTCTCATCTAAAGAGGCATCTTAGAGAAATGATCAATTACAAAAACAGAGATCTGACTAACCTGTCTTAAACAGAGGTCTGACAAAATGCCTATTCCATCCCTCCTAATTGCTGCATCATCCTCTATTATCTGTTTTATCCTATACGACAGGAACTCTCTCAGTACTTTAGAGGGGATGTACCATTTCACAGGAAGAAGCCAAGTCTTGCACAATTTTATCTAAAATGGAAATAGCATTTTGCGAATAAATACATGAAACAAATTCTATAACCCAGGGTTTACAATCCAAATTCATGTTCAGATAGTGCAGTGAATATGACGCATATGACGCATATGTAAAAGAGTCTCTTTTCACTGTGATAACAACTGACCATTCCAAAACTCTCCATGTCACTCTGGTGATCCCGTGTGTCCAGAAAAGTGCACTTAAAGCGTTATGATCTACCTATTACCATTCTGTGAATGTCACATACCAAGACAACAGGTAAAATCATTACACCCAGAAACAAGAATCAATTTATGTTGGTTAAAACAAATTTGAACAAAAAACAATATTGCTATGATACCTTATCACAGAAAAAAACATTCAAAAACTGAAAGCAACAATACCAAGTGAAACCTTGGCATCTTCTTTATCGACATAACATCATCTTTGAAAACATCCTTCAATTTTATGATACTTTCATTTTCTATGTGGCATCCATCAATTACCTGAAAAAACATTCAGATATGATCAGACACTGCTTTGAAAATCATAAGGAAGGAAGTTACTTGAAAATTTGTTACTTGCCACATGATTACTTTAGATTAAAACAGACAAATATAGCTCACTGTTTTAGCAATTAGATGCCATTTAAGGGCAACTCAGAGCTAAAACTCAAAATCATCCCTGCAATCATTCCTAGAAATCCTTTAATTTCAAATTGGTAAACACAACGTTTGATAATGAAAAAAAGATAAATTGACATCTGCATTCAGGTATACTTGAATGGTAAATAAAGCAGCCGGAAGCGGACTGGCCCACTGGGACTGCGCGCTCTGCCCCAAGTTATTTTTTTCAAAAACATAAAAACTTTCAAAAGGCAACCAATCTTCACAGAGAACTAAAATTGATTACAATCATCTATTGCCCAAAGTACGTTTGCATAAAAAGTCTAGCTTCACCTTTAAATTGAGCAATATCAAGATTGATTGCAAAGTTTCCTAATCTGCAAATTCTGCAAGATTTTCTGAAAACCTTGTAAAGAACATATTTTTCTTTGAAAATGACTTTGAAAAAAGAAAATATTTTAAACATACTAGAAGCTTTTTTGCCTAAAACTCCTCAGAGTATAAAACGTCTTGTAATTTTGGTTAGCTTGCAATTTTTTCAAGCAAGTGCACAATATTTGAATTAATTCGATTTCTGTTGAGGGGGTAGTAGAGATTTTCACTAGCTAACTAGCAGACTATTTGCCAATTGACTGATGACTAATAATTTTGTGAAACCAATGCTTCTGACTAACCATATTAGTTTTTTGACTTATGGCTGATGCAAATTAATCCTAGTGCGTGATATCCAATAATTGAGGGCTCGCGCTTTGAAAAAAATGAGCTGAGCACTACCATGTGTTCTTTCTAATCAGAATAGCTGTAACTGGATAAAACTATCGATGTGTTGGCTATTGGGTATGGGAAAGTTTACATATTATGTAATCAAAGTTGGGGAGGGGGGATTTACATAAATTTTATGGAAATTACGGTTATTTTGGCTATTTGTTAAAGTTTGTTGAAATGTTGTTTAGGGAGAAGGGGATTTTTCAAATATTGCCGTAATATGTGCTTTTTTCTGTGTTGTCTCTCTTGAATATGTAGTCCTTTTTTCTTTGGGCCATCAACTATCCCTTGAAAACTGTTCTAGGAATGATAGAGGACAATACTTCCAGTCCGTGGCAAGCTATTATATTATGCAATTCAACTAACAACTCACAGGCATCCTACTTTTTGTACGCTAAAACCAAGAGTTTTGTACCAAAAGAAATTATCATTAACTTGAAGCCAAAAATCTTGACCATTTTTTAAAAAAAATTATACAGAATTTGCTGATGATTGATACCCTCATGTAAGAACCTTCTAAAAAGCTTAATGGAAAGTTAAACATGCTGTTTTGAAAAAAACTGGTTTCAAATTTACAACTAGCTATAAAATTTTCCAATCTTTCTTCAAATTTTTGTCCCGGAAAGGAACTGTGCCTTTTCTTAAGAAATTCTTTATCCTTTTACCATTTCTACGGACAGTTTCTCATAGAGAAGGAGCCTATCAATCTGCAAAATCATCAATTTGCACAAAAAGTATGGCAGATCCATTTGTCCAAGATATGTTATCAGATATCTTTCAGACAAGTCTACGGTTTTGAGCACATGTTCAACACCTGATCATAATTCCGCACGCTGATGAACTGGAATCTTTTGTAAATGATATGTAACTGTAGCGTGGAGGCAGGAGCAACATAGTCATTAGGCTAGCAGGTGCTGAGGTACCCCTTTACATTTCCCAATGATATGCTGCAAAACTTTCAAAATACTTTATGTTACTGTTTGATGAGAACGAAGTCATATAATTTCGTCAAATTTCTAAATATTTCGAGATCGAGTTTAATCGAAAATAATCTCGTCTCCTAGGCCAGAGAAGCTGCTTTCTTTATAAAGTCTTGGAAGGGAGTGTCTCGCTAACTGAAAACGGGCTTTGAGTTCAGTCCAACTTTCAAAATCTATCATTTGACGCATAAAATTGAGGACAATACGTCATTTTATGCCTACAAATTTGACCAGCCGTGTAGACGTTTCAAATACAGTCAATTTGACAATGCGTCTTTATGCCAATGCCAATTGTTCCGACATTGTAAATAGGGTGTTTTTGTTGCAAAGGATTTTAAGGATGAAATATGGCAAAATTTTTCTGGGCCCATTTTACAAGCCCCAAAAATAAGCAACTTTAACACCTATTGGCGCCCTGCTTGCTTTTCCCGGTGCGTCAAAGGGTAGCCAGTCCGCCACTGAAGCAGCCCTATTCATATTTCCTTCTTTCTGCCCAATCAACCAACCGTATGGTTGAAGACTTGTCAGTTTGTGCAAAAAGAGCCTTTACACATGGGCTTTGTGGTTCTATGTGATCAAAAAAAGGAGCCAATCAATCTACCCCTGGATACAAGTTTTGACACTCTTTTATTCACCAGATAAACTTTTATTCAACTAATTTAACAAATGTTTTACGGATACCTTGATACATAATGAAAACAGCTGTTGATTTTGCAGTTCTCTGCTTGACCAGCCAAGCTCTTGTACTAGTGGAAGATAATATTGACTCCTTTTAGAATGATCTTCAAATGCAAACTTCTTTCTTTGCTCAATGTCCCAGAACTGATGTGACAACAACCTTTTTGGGAAAAGGTACCTGGAAAATTGGGGCAAAGAACAAAAATTCAATTATGTTTACTTGTAAAAACCTCCTGTAAAAAGCTGCGGACCTTGTCAGGTAGCCAAAAACAGTTACAAAGAAAATGTTGAACAAAGAAAATACTTAATATGCAAATTCATTTATAACTTTGGATGCCATAAAAGGAAAAATACATGAGTAAATGTTACAATTAAGAGGTTTGATTACCAGAACATAAGTTTCAACTCACCCAATCACAGGTGCAAAGTAACCAATAAAAGGAATAAAGAACAGCAAGGCAACAGGCAGTGACTTGATTATATCCTTTTGTGTCTGAAAGATAACAGGAAATTTTCATGGGGGGAAATTCAATTAAAGAACTTTCTCAAATATCTTGCCTCATTGATGCAAAAGAAACACTTCAAAGAGACAATAAAAGAGTGAAAAAATTAACAGATATATTGTAACAGTAAACAACTGAAAGAAACAATCTCTTGTCTTAAAAGGAAACCAGACTGGAAAATTTGTTGTGCACATTATTTTTCTTGACTGCATTGATTTGTGGGCATTTTTGCAAACTGGCCTGGTAAAAATTTCTCTCACATACTTACAACCATACAAATACAGTAACAATAACTACCCATGCATATTGTGCATACAAGGAAAAGTTTTCTGCTCATCCAAGCATTAAAACATTTCAGAATTATCATGTTGGATTCTTTTTGATGCCTAATATTTTGCTAATTAATGTTAAAGACAGGTATCCTGTCGCTGTGTATGAAGAATGCCGGTAATCTTTTAATGATTTGTAGCTAGTTTCACAGCATGGGTAGTTTTACTTCGTATATTTTAATTGCTTTCCAGAATGGAAACCGTTATAAAGTTTTCAATATTAACTAAAAGCGATGGTCTTGGAACCTTTCACCTACAGCTCCTGAGGACAGAAATTAATCTTTGTTTACTTGCCTTTTGGATTTGAAATTGCTTTGATTGAAAATTGTGGTGTTATTACGTTGCTAAGTATTAGTTTAGGTGACAGGATTTGTAAGATCTTTTCAGTTGTGATGTCTTATCGCGGTCCTTGCTTTTAGGCACCTTGGAGTGCTAGAGTACATGCTTAGGTAACTTCAAGCTCTGATATGCGAAGAAAAACAATGGCAAAATCGACAATAGCAATACACTTTTACCAAGCAAAACTTTTATTGCCACTATATCCATTTCTTAAATCACATTATGCCACAAAGGATTGATTCTTTTTGCAAAAAGCCGTGCCAACTTCCCTTCTGGCAATGATACAATGCTTCTTTGAATCATTGACTTGGTAATGATGTTGAGTCAACATCATTTCTTGCCCGCAAGCAAAATCGGTACCCTAATTACAAGAAAACGAGCATGCCTTGCATGGAAAAGGGTCTATATGTATGTACATATATATATATATAGGTATAAAATAGAAACCCGCATAGAAGAACCTAGGTTTTTTTCTGGCAGCCTGGAAAGGTTCTTAATTAACAGGCTGCTATTCTAAATTCCAGCCTGTAAGGTTCTTATATATGTACAGGCCTTGCACATGTTAACAATGTTTTCTACTACAATATTTCTCACTGATACAGTTTAATGATCTATATTTTTATATTAAATTTCAACCAATCAAATGCACTTGTTTTGTTTGGTTGCAACATACCATAACATTGGCAACATAGTTTACTTTAAACTGGTTTAATTAAGCTGGTGAAAGTCTAAATGTTGCTTATTCTTATGTTAAACATAAGAACCTTAACAAGTTTCAGCCTCTTGAGGGTTCTTATAAAGGGGGTTTAAAAGATAAAATTTCTGCCTCAATGTTTTGTAAAAACAGGTTCCTTTATGCGGGATCCTGATTAGGCAACCTCAACAGTCGTGTTCACATTTCTGATGGCCTATTTCGATCCACAACTGGAGTTTTTTATCGATGACTGTACTGTTTTTTAATCATCTTAAACTGTTATCAAACGATTTTTAAGATTGAGAGCTGTAAATACTGAAGTCAGTGATGCTGCATGGTAATTTTTCAACTATGCATGATAATTTCTACAAGCATTTGAAATTTTTTTGAACTCAGGTATCTTTAAATGATTACAAAAAGATTATATAATTACCTCCTGGAAATTTTTTTCAATAATTAAATCTAACATCTTTAAAGAAGAACAAAAACAGTTTCTCCTTCAATTTTCTTGGTTTCTATTCGGTTTGTAACACAAAAGGTCTCCTTAAAAGCAGCACCCTATAGTTCTTGACAACAGGAATGAGAAACGATTGATAAAAAAGCAGTCAATATCACACCTCATTGCAAGTGCAAAGTATTCAAGACGTGTGAAACGCTGCATGCGGCCTATTTTCATATTACAAAGACTGCTGACACTCTTCAGAGCATAAAACATCAGAACATAGATCTAAAATGCAAGCACATGAATACCCAAAGATTGCGGGATAGAATAAACAGCATGTTCCTTCTAGCATTAGAAACAAAACTCTCCCACAAAGAGAAGCCTCCTTGGTCTTTGAAAATGTACCTGAAAGCTACTTTTGCAGTTAATATGGACCTGAGAAAACAGAATAGCTACAAATATTTCATTGCAAATGGTCACAGTTTATTCAACATTAAGCAAAATTTGTATATGACACAAATTCGGGGAGTCCAGCACCCTCCCCTTCCTAGCTTCCAGTATGCAGAGTATTGCAGATGCAGGGATGAGGTCAGTGCTGCAGTTTCACATGCAGATGCTGACATTGCACATTAAACTTGCAAAATCAAAGTATTATAAACCTCTGTTGCAAGATAGCCAGGGAAAATAAGGTTGGGATATGGGAAAATAAGATTTTCACACAGAAAACGTGCCTGTGCAATACCTTCAAGAAATCTCTCACAAATAGCCTGGGTCGTAATAGGCTAGTTTTCTCAGAAAATAATTACAATCTATAAAAAGAAGAAAAACTTGCATTGTCAATCTTTAGGTAGATGTTAATATCAAATGAAAATTCACCTGTCTCAGATGTCTCAGCTCCTCTCGTGTTAAAATTGTCAAGTCATAATCATGCCTTTTCAGCTTTCTTTTTGTCGCCCAGGCTTTTCTTGCATCGACCCATAGGAGCTGCTTGCATCCCTCCCAGAAAGTATTCAGCATCTCTTTAAATTTTTGCAAAGCTCCATTCTTTTTTTCGCTAGATTCAAGTTCCTTTCTCTTAACATCACTATCAGATTCACCTTTATGATGAGCCTTTTTTTCATCATTACTGCAAGGCCGCAATAGTTGGAAAGAGGTCAGTGGGATAACATTTTTGAAATTGTTCTTGGCATAGTGTGAGTTGACTTTGTTGTATACCGTAAACCTTGATTGGTGAGCAAATACCGAATTTTTCACGATTAGAGTAGATTCTGACCGAGCAAGCAGGTGTAAAATATCCTTTTCCCTCCTGTTGCAGGCAGACAGCAACGCTTTCCATGTTCGATGGTTTGAAAAGGTTCTAAATGTTGACATTTCTTAACTGCACCAAAAAACCTCCTAGGCATACCTAAACGGTGTAACGGCGAGCAGCAGTACTGCTCCATCAGCCTCGTTTCCACAAAAAGATGAAAAAAAATTTGTTAGAATGTGCCAAAAAGTAAATTAATAATGAATGTACCAAAAATGAGAAAAGACTTGAAAACACGACGTTTTCGAGCATATAGCATTAGCAGTTTTCAAGAGCTTTTAGTTCAGCCACGTAGCTGCAGGGGGGGGGCACGGGGGCTGTGCCCCCCCCCAAATGAAAATTTTGATAACAGCTTGCCCCCTCTGGCCACAGTTTTTCCAAATGATATTTTGAAAATTTGGCATATTCATAATTCCATGACCTTGATTTTGTCCAAATATATCTGTTTTCTTGTTTTAAAGCCTGCCCCCCTGAGGTATGGTTCTTGCTCGAGTTTGCCCCCCCCCCCTAGCCGACACCTACAGCTACGTGGTTGTTTTAGTTCAATGCAACTAGGTTAGCAACAGAAAAGAATGATTTTGAATGACTCGAAAAACTCATTTACTGGATGAAATTGTTAACTACACTAGGGTCGCAAAAGTATGGAAACGGTAGGTCAAAATGGCGGCTCACATTGACTACGAGGCAACCACCTTCAAATTCAGAATTATGAGGTGAAGAGGCTTGGAAACGATACGTTATGGCGGGAAAATGCACTCGCCACTCCTTCGACTTTTGGTTTACAGAAAATTTAATGATTGGCTTGCTTTTTTGAGGTGATGAATTCAGCAAAACTTTGAAGCATTGCTTCAAAACAATTCTGTAAAATATTCTCTGAGTATTCATGAAAGATGACCACGAAGTGTCACCTTATTGGAGAAAGGTGAATGAAAAAAGTTCGAATTTGAAGCAAACTGCTTAAAGCTTCTTTCCCATGAAAAATTAGGTATAACTGAAAAAGTTAAATTAGCAGTGCGCTTTAAGACCCTGTTTACACGAGAGAAAATGGAACGGTTCCAAATGGAAATTTCTAGCTTCAATTTATGTGTGTTCTTGTCGAAAAAAGGGGCCCAATGGCTATGTACGAAGAAGATGTCTGGTACGTATTATGAGCTCAGTAAAGAGCGGTAGCAAGACGGATTGGGCTTTTCTATAAAGATGTTTATAAAGAAACAATAAAAGAATAAAGGGTCTCGGCGAGAACTTAATCTCGTTGACATTGTCATTGAGGGTGGAGTACGATTTTTCGGGCTATGGGGGGCTTATCAATTATTCATAATAAAACATATTATAGAAATGCCACAATGCTCTGGGATTTCTTCGAAAGAATCAACATCAATGTCCTTTTGACTTCTAAAAGGCGCACAAGGAAATCCTTTTATGGGCCGTATTTAATGCACATGAGCTTAGCATGATCACACCCGTCAGGAGAACCACTCAACGCGCATGTTTTCATTGTTTGATATCAGGTGCTAAAAAAGAGGTCTTAATAGAGAGGGAGGGCTTATTTCAAATTTTGGCATGGTAATGGGGCTTTATAGAGAGAGAGAGAGAGAGAGGGGGCTAAATCAGGGCCGTCGCCAAACACTTTCACTAAGGGGATGGCAGTCATCAATTTGCCGTCAAAATAGATAGGGCGTGGCCTTAAAAGATATCAATTTTTGAGAGTGGTATTTTAACGCAGTTTGTTTTAATGATCAAATATTACGTTCTCGTCAGTCAATCATCGCTTCGATTTTCGCGTTGTTATTTTCTTTGCCTGCGTACTGAGAGTACCTTCTTTGAATTAACCCTAAAAGTCAATTTTTCAGCAATGAGAAACCCCTATTTATTCAAATAGTTCAGCAGGTATTAATAGAACCTTAGTTTGTATGAGCAGATCTCACAGGCAGGGCCGCTGAGAGGTTTCCGAGACCTTGGGACAAGAGAGAAAGACGAGCCCCCCTGCTAACGGAGCGAGCAGAAATTTTTTTGCGACCACGCCCTTTAGACTATCTTATAATGCATTTCAGAATATTTCTTGCAGACATTTCTTGCAATCGTTTAGCATGTTTGACTATTTTAAAGCATACTTTTGATACGTTTAATCAATTCCATTCTTAAAATGGAATTCATTACTTGATGAGGCCCCCTTGACCTCAATGTCCTGAGGCACTTTCCCCCTTGGCTTTATAAAGAAGGGGGGCTTAATAGAGCTGATTCATGATGACTTTCGCAGATTTATTATGACTCATGATGATTTTCGATCACTCTCAATGGATCACTAACACTGCTTCATGGCGAATAATTTATGCTGGTTCGCAACCATTTGCATTCATTCACAATAATTCATGATTATGCAGATATATCGCAAAATTGAAGAGTTTATTGCTTCATTCAAAGTTTCATAATTAGAAAAATGGCTTGTGATAACTGTAGTAAGATTCTGAAGGTAAAAATTTGAACTGCGTCACATATTCTGGAAGTTTCTTTATGACATACGTCTATCTAAGCACTGTTCCATTGACAAAATAATCAATGTTTCATGGGGATTGTCAGCCTTATCAAACAGCTTTGTCAACAATTGAAAATTTTATCGAATAGAAGACCTTAATTCCCACAATAGCACAATTGCTGAATTATGTGCTACAGCTTCCTTTGAAACTGTGTCAACTTCTCTTTTGGCACGGCCACAATAAAAATTTGCAAAATTGGCTTGCTGATGACGTCGAGTTAACATCATTTCGTAGCCGTGAGCAATAGAAAGCGGGACACTAATTAGGGAATGGGAATTCTTTGCGTAGCATTCTGTTATGGAAACCGTGTCACTTTGTTTGTTACTTACTCACATGGTCCCCCACCACTCCCATATGTACTCATTCTTCGTACATAACGAACCTTACGATTATCTGATATACTGATTTTGGCGCCAAAAACTGCGCATGTTACTACTCCCTTGTAACAATGTTGGGGCCCTGGAGCGGAGCCGTTTGGAACCGTCCCAAGATTCTCGTGTAAACGCAAGCATGAAATATTTGAAACCGTTCCATTTGGAACCGTTCCGAATTACACCGTTCCATTTTCCCTCGTGTAAACAAGGTCTAAATTTAAAATTTCAATACTGACACAAGGTGAGTTACTCTACATTTGATATTTATTGACTTGTTTATCTTAAATTCTGTTTGCTCATTATCTGATCGTTTACCAACAAGGCAGCAGTGATGTAAAATCTGTTTTCACGAAAATCTTTTTAGAGAGATAGCTGATTTACAAAACAATTTCATCATTGGTCAAGAATTCCTCATCGGAGAAAAATAAAATCAGAATATAAGCCCGGCAACATCACATTCTGATTTACAACCAACTTAATACAAAAAACGTTTTGGAAGGTTCTATAATTCGTTCAATAAAAATTAAATTTAAATTAAGACATCCTATAAATCAAGTACTGCAACAACATGGAAAGGCGGAAAGGAAAGAAAAGTATTAGCATCTTTAGTTTTGTCGGCTAATGATCACATGATATATCATATGATATTTTCCCACATGATATATTCTCACAAGAAATATTCTAGCAAACCTTTTCAGTGTTAATCGTTAGATTTGCTTTCTACTCTACTGATTGAAGTTCTTAAATGCTTTGTACAGTTCAGGTTACGAAGTTTCTCTGTCAAATACAATTCACATCTTTAGTACAATGATTGGAATTCCATAGTTATGCTGCATTTCATGTTATCATGTTTATGCTTGTTTCTTTCTCCCAAAGCCAAGCTTGTTTGACCCTTTGCTTGGAGTTGCAGTCTTCAACAAATCGATTTGATCTTTTTGTGAAGTCAGCTTGTCATTCATTCCGCAAAGGTGATCACTTAGCATCTTTATTTGGTCCTCGTAACTTCTTTTCGTCGTCTCTAAATCATCCTAAATAAAAAAACCAAGAATCTTAATCTATGTGGTAGGTAAGCATGACTTTAAGCTAAACCCTTAAAGTTAAGTCACGCTTTCCTTGTTATAACATAGGTAAAACATAACAAGCAATTGGTATATGAAAATTGCTTCAATTCCTATAGTACACTCCCCTCATAAAAGTATCGCACCACCTCGAAGGAGGTGAGATGACGTAAGAATAATCGAAAGCTATTGTTGTATGAATTGATTGTGTTTTTAAGTGGCGAATAGGAGTGGGTCGGAAGTTGAAAACCAACAATCAACACTTTAATCTTTTTAGAGCACTTTTAAAAAAATAACAGTAAGAAATGTCTTTCAACAGTTTTAAATTTAAATATTTTGACGGAAGCGGCAATCTTTTAAAACCGCTTTTAGCCTTCTTGAATTGGTTGCATATAATTGAGCAATGTATCATTGTGAAATTTCATGCCAAACCTGAAAAATTCTTGTAATTAACGATTCTTTGGTTTTTCAAGAACCATTGAAATCATGGTTTGTAATGTATTTCATAAGACACAATCTGTTACAAAGATACGAAATTCCGGACTTGATGGGTGCCACGGAAAAACTTGAATTCTTCTTGTTCGGAAATAAATTGTTTTAAAAATGGTTTCCTTTTACTCAGGTAACTTTTTATTTTATATTTGTGTAAGACACTCCTTCTAATTTGTTTTGAACATTTTTTAGCTAAAAACCTTGCTCAACCACGAGTTTTATGTTCTTTAGTCTCCCAAGCATAAACGCCGTGAAATGAAACAGACAAATTCTTTCCCTATAATATCAATTTTTTTACACCTCCACTGCTCGGTTTCTTTGCTACTGAAACACTCCCGAGAAAATATTTTAAATTCTCATAGCTGTTGTGCGGCTGCATCTAACTTGCTCAACAACTTTTCGAAAACTGAAGTACCCGTAAATATTTTATAGCGTCTCGCATCTCATTTGACTTTTTTTCTTCTTTAGGCTTCTTCTATATTTCTACAAACAAAAACTTTTCTGTGTAATTTATACATTCCAAACTATGTTTTCTATGGCGTCAGCAACATTTTCAAGAATTTTCCGCCAAAAAATGCTACAAAGTACGCTTGTTTCATCCAATTAATGCATTCCATTGTTTGGTATGGTTGAAAAGTTGATAAAAAGTGCCGCCATTTGAACAGGGTGGTGCAATACTTTTGTGAGGGAAGTGTACATGAAAAGAATACTTACTTCCAACGTTCCAAGTCTGCTTTTTGCCTGTGCAAGCTCGTTCGCTATCCTCTTTTTACTTTTATCAGCAAGGACCAGTTGTTTATAAAGAGCTCGACACTGGGAAAAGGACAAATTCACAATACAAATGAGCTCTCTCTATATAATGATACACAATACTAACGAGAATTCAACGAAAAAAGAAAACTGGTTCATACGACTTGAAAGAAGGCAAACAAGTAAAGCATAGACTTCTCACCTCTGCATAATGAGTGACTCCTTTACTGTCCGCAAGTTGAAGCTAATCAAAATCGAACAAGAAAACAGCCATCAACAACGAATTGTCACACAGAGGAACTGACACACTAGCGAGTTATAAATTGTTACCTCACAGCTGCCTTGATAGGTAGAAAGCTTGGTGCAAAAAGCCGCATTGACAATTTCTACCCGATGTAGCAGGTCAAAGACACCCTTAAGAGGCTCTCCAGTTACTAGTAGGTACAATAGTTACAAATAGATAGCATATTTCCCGAGAACATTACTTTGCTGAAACATATCCCTGTGTTTGAAAAACATTTCGTGTTGTGCCTACACCTCTTGTCAACAATGTTCTCCCTTTACTTTTTGTACCCTTCACAAACATCAGCAACGTTAAAAACGCTCAGTAACAAAATAAGTTTAAATGCACTCAGTTACTATGATAAATATATGTAGCTGACCTGTTTTGTTAGGTCATTAATTCTAGCTGTAAGATGATTCTTGACAAGCTCTTCGTGATCTCTATCTGAATCCCCAGTATCCTGCTGAATTGGTAGAGAAACGGAAATTGTTTTAAAAATAAAAAAAACTTTTAAGATATATACAAAATATGTAGACAACCGTGAAATACTTAAAGAAGCAATTAAAGAGGCATCAGGCATATTGCGCCAACAATATGTCTTGAAAAAGCAGAAGTTTTTCTATGCTACGTTTTAATAGTAATTCGAAAAGTGTTACTAACCCTTTCCTTATTCCAAACTTCTAGGGTCCCAATAGGCTGAAATGAAAATGGAGAAATCCAATAAACATAAACTTTCATTTACAAAAATATCCCTAACAGTTTTGTTAACCCTAACCGACATGCCAAAACCACAATCCCCGAATCTAAACATACAATTAAGTTGAAAATTGTGTGAGCAGATTATGTAAACATTTTCCACTTTTTGATACCATTTTATTTCATGTTCAGAAAGTGACTACAAATCTTAATAAGAGTGAGTCTTTGGTCTATTCGGCAAAGAATAAAAGTTTATTTGAATACGAGATTCATGACGATCAACACTTACATGTGAAAACGAGACAGGTTCAGCTGAGGTTGAGCCTGATGAGGCCTCTCTCATCAAGGGAGGTGGCGAGACTATGCCCACAGACTTATCTCTTTGCAAAACATCGTCAATTGTCTGCGATAACCAGAGAACAAAAAATGAGTTACTATTTGAATATAAGACATTTTGTCTAATCTCAATAACTGCATATTAGTCTGGATGCACCAGGGAAAGTTGACCAACAAGGACCGACTGAGTCCAACAGACAGTGACTCCAACATACCGTCTGAATATATTCAACGATAGTCCGGAAACAGAAGACCGTAAAGTCAGCACAGATATCAGTGATAAGAATTTACTTCAGTGGAGAAAATCACGAAATCCGAGTTCGAATGGCTGGCTATTTTTAGACTGAAATTTCTTACATCATTTAGAATGTTATATTATGCTGTTTGCCGACATTCTGGCGTTGTTAGTTTGTATTGGTGACCGAAAGCTTAAATTTATCACAAGACTAGCTAGTTTGTCGATGTATTGGGACACATTTGTTTAGGCTTAGTAAGAAATAGGATATCGGTAATGTAATGGAAGCTTAATAAAACGAAACCATTGTCAGTAACCTTGCCATCATAGACATCTCAAGACTGTAATTAAATAAAATTCGACTAAATTTTGGAAAAATAGAGTTTGAACATATTTATTGTGAAGGTGCTACTTGCTTAATAAAAACAGAATCATTTAGGCGAATTAATGAATAATTTTCTTAAAAAACGCTTTTTGGTTTAATCCCTACAGTGGTCTTTCCCTGCAAGACCGCGAGGCATACTTTCTTCTCTCTGGACGTCCGTCTATTGACTTAATTTAGTTTTATGGGTCTAAGTTGAACTTGTGTGCTTGTAAACACAATTATCTTGTGATGAAAACCAGCGCACCTGGTTTGTGAAGAATGTTTTCTTGGCAATGGTAGGTAATGGAAAAGCGCCTCTCTAACATCGAATACTAAAACATCCAGTTCAAGTCATAACCTCCATTATAAAGCAACTCATTACGAAGTTGAAACATTTTTCCTATTTCACTAATCTATTAATATTTTGCACATGTGTATAAGTGTTGTATCAACTGTTGTAGATATGTACTTATCATGCCTCTCTAAAAGGTGAAATGAAATTGAGATGTACCTCAGGCGACTGTCTGCTATTTATCGCTTCAGTTTTCAGCTTTCCGAGCTCATCACTGAGAGATGCCACTTTCTAAAAGCAGAAAAAATAATTCCTATGAAAAATTTAAATCTTACACAAAACTGAACAGTTCTTGACCTGCAGTTAAAAAAATATCTAAACAAGGAAAGCAAGAAAACAGACGCTCACTTTTACTTCCTTCTCAAATTTGGCCTGGAGCAACTGAGCCTCGAGTAGCCAGTGCTGCTTTTCCTAAAGACGGAAAACAACCATTAAAATTCGCAAACATTTTGCATCTCAGCAGAAAGTCAAAATTTAATCGAACATGCTTTAATGGAATCCGGATAATAGTAAGAAACACAGCAGTCGTATATCATTTGTGATTGAGAGAAAATTGCATCGAAATAAAAGTCAAAATGCGCAACAGGTTATCGACAACAAAATTCTAGAAATTAGATCCCGTGGAAAATACAAGGAGTACTTCGAAAAAGAGCACAAGGGGTAACTACAAATTATGAGTTACAAAATGAGCATCAAATAAAATAACCTGTTCAAGTTTTGCAATGGTTTCCTTTGAATGAGTTACCTAATAAGGAACAAAACACCAATGAGGAAATTTTATCAATGCATTGCAGATTGACATCTGATATTCTGAGCTCTTCTAGTTCTGGCACAATCGTTTATCGATCAGTACTTTTGCTTTCCAGCATAATAATATTGCTTATTAAACATTTGTTATCGAGCAATAATATTACTTATAAGTAAGTAATATTGCTTATTAAACTGTGCTTACTGATGAGTAACATCATTTTCTCAACCAGTCGTTATCAATCAATACTATTACTTATAAGCAAGTAATATTGTTTATTAAACAGTGCTTACTGATAAGTAACATCATTTTCTCAACCAGTCGTTATCAAGCAATACTATTACTTATAAGCAAGTAATATTGCTTATTTAACATGTGCTTGTTGATAAGTAACATCATTTTCTCAACCAGTCGTTATCAAGCAATACTATCACTTATAAGTAAGTGATATTGTTTATTAAACTGTGCTTGCTGATAAGTAACATCATTTTCTCAACCAGTCGTTATCAAGCAATACTATCACTTATAAGCAAGTAATATTGTTTATTAAACTGTGCTTGCTGATAAGTACCATCATTTTCTCAACCAGTCGTTATCAAGCAATACTATTACTTATAAGCAAGTAATATTGCTTATTAAACAGTGCTTACTGATAAGTACCATCATTTTCTCAACCAGTCGTTATCAAGCAATACTATTACTTATAAGCAAGTAATATTGCTTATTAAACAGTGCTTACTGATAAGTACCATCATTTTCTCAACCAGTCGTTATCAAGCAATACTATTACTTATAAGCAAGTAATATTGCTTATTAAACAGTGCTTACTGATAAGTACCATCATTTTCTCAACCAGTCGTTATCAAGCAATACTATTACTTATAAGCAAGTAATATTGCTTATTAAACAGTGCTTACTGATAAGTACCATCATTTTCTCAACCAGTCGTTATCAAGCAATACTATTACTTATAAGCAAGTAATATTGCTTATTAAACAGTGCTTACTGATAAGTAACATCATTTTCTCAACCAGTCGTTATCAAGCAATACTATTACTTATAAGCAAGTAATATTGCTTATTAAACAGTGCTTACTGATAAGTAACATCATTTTCTCAACCAGTCGTTATCAAGCAATACTATTACTTATAAGCAAGTAATATTGTTTATTAAACAGTGCCTACTGATAAGTAACATCATTTTCTCAACCAGTCGTTATCAAGCAATACTATTACTTATAAGTAAGTAATATTGTTTATTAAACTGTGCTTGCTGATAAGTAACATCATTTTCTCAACCAGTCGTTATCAATCAATACTATTACTTATAAGCAAGTAATATTGCTTATTAAACAGTGCTTACTGATAAGTAACATCATTTTCTCAACCAGTAATGTCGCCAATCAAACATTCGTTATCAAGCAATACTATTACTTATAAGCAAGTAATATTGTTTATTAAACAGTGCCTACTGATAAGTAACATCATTTTCTCAACCAGTCGTTATCAAGCAACACTATTACTTATAAGCAAGTAATATTGTTTATTAAACAGTGCCTACTGATAAGTAACATCATTTTCTCAACCAGTAACGTCGCCAATCAAACATTCGTTATCAAGCAATACTTTTGATTATAAGCAAGTAACCTCACTTATAAACCTGTACTATTGCATATGAGGCAATACTTGTGCTTATCAACAGACATACAGATGAAGAAACTCGTCCTAACCTCCTCCGCAAGCGTGTCTCTACTTTCAGTAGATGTCATTAAAGTTCTATTATTTTTTACTGCAATTTCGTATGGAACGGTTATCGGGACGTCCTACAAAAAAAGTAATGGGAAAATGGCTTTAGATTGAAGTATTCATATCACATTAGCAGTATCTGGCAGACTTGTGAAAGGTGAAAGGATCAGAAGAATTTGCATTTTAGTTTGAACTCGGTCAGGGAAGAGATGAAGAGACTCTTATGACGTTTTCAACATGACAAGTTCGGGATTAGCAAACACACTTAATCTAAGTATCACTATTGAAATACAGATACCTTTCTGAGACTCTGCAAGTAACCTGTTGCTTTTGAATGGAACAACTTGATTGCAGACGAAATTCCCTAAAGAAAGACACACCATGAGAGCATCTAATCGTAACATTCAACTTGGAAAAATACATCAAAAAGCAGTTTTATTCATCTTGAGTAAAAGCCGAAACTTCCATATCATATCATATATCACATCATATCCCTTATACTCACCGATTTAGAGAATTGAACAAGAAAGACATCAAAACATTCAGTAATAGGCTTGCTCATCTTACCTCTTCCCCATCACCAACGACTCCTTTTCTTTTAAATCCATTATTAGCTGTTATGAATTCAATGTTGTCGTCGAAGAACTTAACAAACTGAAAGAAAAGTACGGTGAAAAATGCAGGCAATGCGCGAGTAAAGCTTCGTTCATACCAATATTCTTGTGGTTTGTCTGGGCCATTGTCCAGTGGCAAAAACACTTCTTCCAGGGTCAGTGTTGAAATTCAGTGTTTTAAAGATATGAACATTCTTATAATAGAGACACGACAAGCTTTCGACAGATTTTGTCTTTAGGAAACATTAGAAGGATACCAGCGTGTCACTTTCTTGTTCCACACAAAGAATGCCATTCTGCTCTGATTAAAGCAAAAAATACAAACTGAAGGACATACCTTGCTTGCTGCGCCGGCTATTCCAGCCAATGACGACATTATACACTGGTCAGTGCTTCTAAGTCGCTTCAAATAAAAACACAAATCGTGATGGAACGATAAAAAAGAATCATATCAAAAATTAAGAGTTTAGTTAAAGCAAATAGAAAACATTAAAAATGACGGAAATGTGAGCAATTGGGCAAGCTACATACCTCTGTTATCATGGGCAATTGCTCTTCAGCAAGCATTTTCAACTGGTAGCATCTACATAACTCTAAAACAAAGAAAGATCACTTCGTTTGATCATGTACTACATTTTTAGGATTTCTGTACTGCATTTCACCCTTATCTTTTGAAGAAACCCAAGCCAGCATTCTCTTTTTACTTATATCAGGTCTTCATACTCTAACAAATTTTTCATATCTTCAAAAATAAACAGGGTGCGAACTATGTTTTATAGTTGAAGTATAAATATTTGAAATTTTGGAACAAACTAGCGATTGTCGAGGGATATGAATAATAAAAGGGCTGTGAAAACCACAAAACCCTCCTCTTGCACGAAGAATTACCTTGCGAAACCTCGAAGAGCTTCTTCATTTGTTTCACCATTAATTTAAAGCAGGGCCCACTTTCCGAGACATTTATCTTGTTTGAGCCTAAAAAGGAATAGTTTGCTAACAAATTGGTGTGATTAATAACGCACAACACATAACAAACCTCAATAAGATAATATAGATAAAAACATTAAAAGGATTAAACGAAACACAGAAATGAACGAAAAGATAACAAAACAGTAAAAACAAACGAAAAATAGATAATATAAAAAAATAACTAAATAAATATATAAAAAAATAACTAAATAAATAAATAAATAAATAAATAAATAAAGAAAAATAAAAAAGCATTGGCTTACCGAAAGACGCCAAAACGCACAATGTCATTCGCAGACGAGACATAGTCACTGTTAACTGGTTGGTGAATTTCATAAACTCTTTGTTCTCTTTCTCAATATCTTCGCTGCACGATGACCATGAGCATTCCTCTTTATTGCTGAAACGCAGAGGCCACGTTTACATGATATTACGTTACTATTGGCCCGGACAGCAGTTACAAAGGGAGTCTTCTATCAAAACCTATTGGCCCGGACAGCAGTTACAAAGGGAGTCTTCTGCCTTCTATCAAAACCTATTTGGTAAGCAGGAAAATATTTTATCCTTTTCCTCAACGACCTTAAAGTTGTCTTGCATCGTTGCAGGGGGTACCCGCATTCATAACCAGGGAACATTTCTGGCAGCAAGGTCCGATCTTCAATACAATGTTCACATGATAGCAAACATTACAATTGACAAAGCGGAACATAAAAAAGGAAAAGCTTGGCTTTCTCCCATCGCCTGTGCATAAGCAATATTATATTACAGCACGTTTATGATCCAAGAATTTCAAGAATCCAGCAAGTCACGTCTTTGTGATGAATCAAAGTAGCAGCGGCACTCAGTATTTCTATAGTGTATCGGCACTCATCTTAAGGAAGATTTAAATAACAAAAAATTTGAGGACTGACCTTAAAACATGATACGACAGCAGCTTGTCGAGATAACTTGTGAATTCCGTAAATTTTATAGCGAATTGAGACAATCCGGTGCACGTTTTCTGTTTAGAAAAAAAGATAACATAACGAGAGTAAAAAGCCAATCAAGCTTTTTCAAAGTTGTAGGTCTGAGCAAAGGAATATAATAAACTTCAAACATTAACTATTAAATTGCGATGACAGAAAGAATTTGGAGACACACATGATACCAAAGTGATAGAAAGCACATTACAAAATCGACAAGTGACATTGTCGAATTTGACATTGAAATACAAAAATATAGTTAAAAGAATGAAATGGAAATCGAAAATAACTTTAAACTTACAAGTGAAATAAAAGACTGTTCTTTAATGTTTTCATTAAAATCTTTCATGGCTTGCTGGGTCTGTCTGTTAACGTATGCATTTTCACGAAGATATGCACTAAACTGAATTAGATAAAAAACAGTGACAAGGAAGAAACTTGTGAAAAATTTCCAAATGCACTGTTTGCAGTTTTCAGTTTGGCGATGAATAAAAAAGATTAATGAAAGGGGTTAATTTAATGCAATAGCCTACTACGAGCGATCAAGATACTAAACTCGAGAAAGGAAGGGTAGCAAAAAGCGCAAATTGATGACAGCAATCTAAACAACGGGCAAATCTATAGCCATTAAAAAATTGGAAAAATTGGAAAAAAAGGGTTTGATTGGAAAAAAAGGGTTTGAATGGACCTGATAGAAATCATTTACAAAGCTCTTACAACATGAAAAGGTTGAAGATATCATCAAAAACTAACTTTTGAGTTGATGACACTAAGTTGTTCCTGCCTCAAGTCAGCTGTGAATATGACAACTCTCTGTAGGAGCAAATTGAATAATTAAAAAAACATCAAGTGACGACAATGTTAGGAACATTCGGCAAACAAAGACCATCTTTCACTTAGGCGCTCTGAAATGTGTCTATCTTTAGAAAATCCAGATCCGTGTACGCAAAAGGTTTCTTTCGCTTATCACAATGTGCAAGGCGTGAACTTTTACCATTGATCAAAAGAAGGACCCAATCAAACTTGCCATTTTTCCTTACATAGAATACGTTGTACAGGAAGATTGCTTTTGCGACACTATCGAAAATGTAGATTTAAAATAAGCTTAATTCTATTGAAATAAAAAGACACAGCGACTTGCCTGTTCAAGATAGGTATGATAATCGGAAAGGCTGGACATGAACTGTATGAAAAGCGATGTGAATTGGTCCACAAGAAACCTGGTTTGGAGCTAAAACAAAAAAATAAGAAACTAAACAAAAAAGGATTTGGTACAGTCAATGTCGTCAAAACTCTTGTACATGGCAGGGGGCAACGATCTTTCAGGACAACGGCTATTCAGGAGATGTCATTTCTTCTTACAGTGGGGAAATTCGGCTATCGAAAAGTTCGGTCCACAAAAGTGCCCAGTATATGTTAAACTACCCTGGATTGATAACACTTCCTTGCGATTTGAGGGTCACATTAAACAAGCCATCACAAAATGTTTCTTTGCTGTCAATCCTCGTATTGTTTACAGTACAATGAGAGCTCTTCCATCCAGTGAAAAGGATTGCGTTCCTACCACCCAAAATAATTCAGTTGTTCATGAATATTCGTGCAAGTATGATTCTGGCTACGTAGGACGCACAACCCAAAGATTGAGGGATAGGATAAAACAACATGTTTCTTCCAAGATTCCATAAATATACTAGCTTGCGTGCAGTACAATGTAATAGAATAAAACTATGAATTTTTTAAGTAAAATTTTACAAGGAAAATTTAACGAATTTCTTAACGACGTTGTTTGCATAGCCCGTAGATATGTTCCTTCAAACATACGAAACAAAATTGCCCCTCAAAAAGAACAGTCTTCTCGATCTTGTAGGTCTAGAAACACCTTAAAAACAAGTGATTCTGCCATCGGACAACATCTTTCAGATAAGCTAGATTGTGCCAAAGTCTATAATGACGACATGTTTCAGGTAATTGGCAGAACCAGATCGTCTTTTTATCTAGCAGTTTTGGAATACATTTTCATACAAACGAAAAGCCGCTATTGCGTAGACAGATTGAGTTTGTTTTTTCTCTTGGACTCCAGTGGTAATTTTCCTATAGGCACGTGTTACTGTGCCAGTCATTTGCTCGAGTTTGTTCTGATTGGCCTATTTCGATCTACAACTGGGAATATATTTTCCATCTTGCTCTTTCAGAACCATATTCTGACGCTTAGTAATCTGAGGAGTGTCAGATGAAAAAGCTTTTAGCCAATATGTTGTAAAATGTTTGCTTTTTTCAAAGCCATTTTCAGATTTGGTAAAGCAAAAACAAAAAAAAAACGGTAAAGCAAGATCTTTGCTTGTATATATTTGCTTTGCAAGATCTTTACTTAGCAAAATATGCGAAGAATATCTAAAACAATTCATTCAATAATTCATTACAGATTTTGCAAAGTTTGACCAACCTGATGGCCTTTATCGCAAACTGGCACATTCAGTAGATTCAAGTTCTCTTTTTCTGTAAAGCATGAAAAATACATTTTCAATTACTGAGTAAGCTACAGGCTTGTTCATGAATAAAGACTTGAAAAACGCTTTTAAAGCTATTATCAATTATATATGCACTTCAATTCCTTGTAAAAAGCAGATACCTGTGTCATGAAATGGAATCTTTCCCTTCAGGAGATGATTCGCTTTTTCTGCAGATTTAAAAGGATTATTAACATTTTTGAAGGCAATTAATCTTATCATATGCAGTAGAAAGATTAAACAAAAAACTGAGCATCCAAAAACATAAAAACAGTTGGCTTTTCATTGATCAAAATACTTAAAAAGGAAAAGAAGTATGCATGAGTCTTAGAGACTCAACAGTCTCTTTAAGCAATTTCACCAAGAACCGCACCGCAAAGCAGTGCTTAGGTTTTGGCGGACTGTATGCCATTCCACAGAGTTTCAGTATAAGTGTGAAGTATTTCACACTTCACAAAAATACTTAGGCCCTGATTTCAATATCTAAATGTGACAGAAATGTGAATCAATAAAATCCATTGGCATTGAATACATTGACCTTACAGATAATGATAGGAATATTCTGAAATTGAGCATCGACAAAAGAAAGTGTGAAATTTCAAAATCTACACATTCGAAAGATAAAGAAAGTAAACAACTTTAGACCATGCGCAGGTCATCACTGACCAGTCATAAGAAAAAAGTAAACTCTACACGATAGAAATTATCATTGACATTGCTATTGATTTACCCAGAAGCGACATTTTCAGAGCTAAATTCCATAAGGTACATTAAATTTTGCAAATGAAATTGGTGATAACAAATAACATACCAAGCTTTGTCCTTAAATCGTTCTGGTTTCCCTTCATTTGTTTTTGGCTAAAGAAAAATAATCGCGCTTACAAAACAGCTTAGAAAACAGAAAGAAAACTGTTTTTCTAATGAACAAGGAAAGCAAGCTTTGCATAGGTTCAAAAAAGTGAAAAATTCCTAGTTCTTTATATAATATGTAAACAGAGTATTATTTTATTTGCATAAGCACAAAAAATCATTGTACATCCTATAGAATTGAGAGAAACTTACTATTTATCTATCATGATATTTGCGATCTTGAGCTCCTCCTCCTGTTTTCGGATTCTACCCTGAAACAGAACACATCCAAATTGTATAATCACTAAATTAAAACTGAGCAGTATCATGAATTTGGTCATATAAACAAATGACAGCTGTTATCTTTCAAATTGTTGACCTTTGAAAACTGTTGAAAAGTTGCTTGAGGGCTAATAATTGTTGTTCTTCTACAAAATTGGCAAGTAACTGCTTAAAGGTAATGTGTCCAGCTAAAGCAAGCAACTTTGAAGGGGTTTTTAGAAACATGTGATTTTTCATGTCATTGCCGCAGCCATTACAGTCATTTTGTTAATCTACACTGCTGTGAGGCTAGCTTTTATGTGACCAATCTTGCATTGCCACTATACAGACCAATCGCAGGCCGTTATTTTGATTGATGAATTGACAAGTTTGGTATACGCAGTCCTTTTATATGGACACCTTACCTTACAGACTGCTATAGATCATGCACCAGAGAGTCAAAGAGACTATACAGGAGACCACAAAGAGGCCATTTAAAAATCGCAACTCACTTCAAGCAAAGCTCTGTCTTCCTGAAGCCTCTCTATCACTCTATTGTATCTTGCATTTGTTTCTTCAATGGATTTGTTATGACCAGCTGCAGTCCGTTCATAGGATTCTATTCTGCCCTCAAGTTCTTTTACAATACGGTGATGTTGCTCATTGGCATCATGCAGCTGCTCATGAAGGCCTTCGTTCTCTTTTATCTTCATCTCCAGCTCCTGGGCATGAACACTTCGCCCCACTTCATTTTGCCTGTAATCTTGTGCAGGCTTGAAAGAAGAAGAGAATTTTGAAATCTCTATAAACTAATCTCATTTCTGAGACCAGATAATCCTTTGAATAGATTATAGTATAGTTATCTGGTGAATTCATTACTATCCTCAATACAGATGTCAGAATGAACAATTAACCTGTTCTAAGCTACTGATATCTCTATCTTTTACTAGAATGTCTGCTACCAAAAGTCAAATACAATACCTTTGGTTTGCCATTTCCTCTTTCCCAGGCATCCAAATCTCCTTGTAATATCTCCACTCTTTTTGACAGCTGTAACCAAATGAAAGAAGTTAAGTTCATTATAAACCTTTGTTCTAGAAAATCAGTTATTGTTATATAGGATTGTCCTTGACAGTTATTCTCTGTTCCTGCTCTGTTTATATATATTAAACAGCAAGAGTTTATGACACAGCTATTACAGAATGTCTTTCTTTTTGCAAATCATTTATTCTATTCTGTCTTTTAACTTTGCAAGTTGCCTATATGAACACAGGAAAAAATTATCAGTTTCAAATACAACCAAAAAATTATGATTCATGTTCTTGCTTTACAGAATGACTTGGCAACCATAACCTTTTTTTCTTTTAAATATTGAAGTGATCTACAATACCTGGTCATTTCTAAATTGCAAACTATCAATCTCCTGCTCATATTTTCTTACAACTTGATCTTTTTGCTTCACCAGCTCCTAGAGGTGCAACAATGAAGTTGAAGTCATCCAAAAAAATAACAAACCTAAATTCTACAGCATTATTTACTAGCTTGATTCTACATGAAAATGAATTGTACAGTTAGACCTTGCTAAAAAGCTATTTGCTGGATAAATTTAAGCTACAGCTAGAAATGTATCGCGTTTACTATAACAGGAAACAACAGGAAACAACAAGAAACGAATACAAACGAGAAGAAACGATAAGGAAACAACATGAATCGATTTGTGACTTTGCAGTAAACGACTATATCTCCAAAACGAGACAAGCTTATCCATCCACGTGGGCATTGTTATCTTCGTTGCAGTGGCCTAAGTGTTAGATCATGTCGTTCTCCACCGCAATAGCTGTTGTCTTAGATGAGGTTACGGAAACCCAGTGATAATGCTAACTTATGTTTCTACAACGCTAATTTGAGCAAAAGCAACAGAAACTAAAGAAACAAACTCCAATATACTAGAGGAACAAGCTGTATAGGTTGACAATCTACTTCTTGAAAAATTTTTTGTTTGGGAGCCTAACCCTAAAGCCTCTATAAAGTTTCGGTAAGTTCCTAAAGCAGTTGAATTCAGGGGAAAAAAGGCTTGATTATTAGCCGAGAATTAAAATTGCTTTATTTCGACCTTCCCAGTAGTTGTTCCATGTTAATCCCAATGCCAGTGAGATTTCATATCAGGCTTTCATAGGTAAATTCCTCTTACAAAATTACCATATCAACACCTACTATCAATAAAATTGTGCCGCAGTTTTAATTTTTCCAAGGCGTTTCTACTTGTTTCTTCTTGTTTCTAGTCATTTATACTCATTTCCCGTTATAGTAACCATAAGAAATGTATTCCCTTTTATAACGAGAGTTAATAGAGAGGGGGGCTTAATAGAGCTTTTATGGTATATCTCTATTTTAAATCATCAAATACTTTTTTTCCTTCTTAGGTTATCAGATCAAATGGCTTTTGTCAAATATATTAAACAACAAGAAAATGTTATGCATATAGCAGGTTAAATAACATTTCCATGCATGTCTACCATACAATTTTGTCAGATAGTGGGGAGCAAAAATAAAGTAATACATCAGAGATTTCTACAGAAAAATTTTAAACTTCAACAATGAAAGATGGGGAGACTGAAGCAAATGTACTCCTGCAATATGCAGTCTTGAGGCAAAGCATACACAATTCCAGTGTTTGGAAAAAACCTGGCAAATTTGTTAAGTAACTATTGCCTTATCATTGGAAAGCAATGAAAAACTTCAATTGTGAAAAGAAATTTAAATCAAAAGTCTAACTTTTTGTGAAATAATGTTTCTGTATCAAGACAGGTATTTTTTGCTGTTCAAGGGAATGGCACAATAAAAATTGATTTATGAAAATACAACTGCATAAAACAAGAAACAAAAAACTAAATTATCAAGAAATTGCAAAGCTATACCTGCAAAGATTTGCTATTTGTCTGTTCATCAATAACCCCTTTCTTTAAAACACTGACTTGAGCCCGCAGCTGCAAACCAAAACAGCAAAAAGTTTAAAACTAATTATTCTGATTAAAGGCAGAAATCTACTTATATGAGATAGATTGTCTTGGTAGAACTTAAGAGCTGCTGCCATTTCAATTTCAGCCCAACATGGAACTAAAATGTAATCCTTAAGCACCATTTAAATCAAAAAGCTTCATTTATTGTGCACTTTGTTTTCATTACTACTTCTGTGTCAATCAGTTATCCTTAGTATGAAAAGCACCTCCATTTTTTAAAGTAAAAATGGTTTTTATTATTCCCTCAAAGGGACGTGTGAGTGAGTGAAAGGATTAGGGCCAGACTGGCAATAGGTTGGATTCCTGCCCTGATGGTGGCAGTTACTCAGATTTTCTCTCAGTTTATGTTCATAAATAGTTACTTGCGTATAAGACACATCCATGTATAAGACACATACCCGCTTTTCACAGTTCTTGTAAAACATGTATATTTCAGTGAAAGAATAAACTCAACAATACTATAGACACTAACTCTGTGGAGGGAAATTTGTTTAAACCACAATGTTTTCAATGCGTTTAAATCATCAAGGAGAAAGTTTAATATCATAATATACTCAAAATCATCATTAACGTTTACAGGTTCAAATATCTACAAAATTCTTGTTGGTCATCCATTCCATTCACAAATCTCATCCGCTCCTCAATAAATAGAATGCAAGGTACAACCCCTCTACTTGGGAGTAAAAAAGCTTTTGAGAGATATTTCTCTATCACGGCTGGAGAATGTTGCAGTTTTTACCAAATTTCCGGTAAAAATATGATTATTTGAATTAAGAGAACAGGTGCTCCAAATATCATAAAATTTTGTCCATAAAATGACACTTTGCTTTCAATAGGAAATGATGGGACAGTCAATGTATAAGAAGCACCCTCAAACAAAGCCAATAATAATTCAAAAAAGGTGTGTCTTATACACGGCGAAATACGGTACATGCCTCTAAACAGTGTCATATAATTGCTGGAAATGCTTGACAAACAAATGCCTCAAAACACACAATACCAAATCAGCAGCAACACAACTGATGTGCAACATTCCAAAGTTTAAAAGGGGTAATCATCTACAATAGTATGTTGCTAAAGGTAGAAGAAAAGGCTGCAGCTATGATGAGTCCGGAAATATTCGAAAAAATAAGGCTTGAAAATTGATATTTCAGGTCAAGGCATGTTTGGGACGGACAAAGTTTTGGGTACAAAACAACTGAAATAACCTAACCTTTTGGTACTCTTGTGCAAGCTTCTGGTATTTGATATGCAACTCGTTATCCATTTCACGTGAGTTTAACTTGACATTCTAATGTCCAAATTACTTTTATGCTTGTTGTCATACTCCCTTAGTTCTAGCCGTGCAGAGGTCATAGAGATAGCAGAGGTTCCAATCCAGCATCTTTGCGGAAGTACTTTATGTTTTTAACACGTAAAGGGGCAGGTCTTATGCGAAGGAGACTGTTTCGGAGAGACTAGCCCTTGAAATCTTCCCAAAAAGGACAAAGATAATGCCGGGATTCGCATTCAATCTTTTGCCCTAATTTTCAAAGACCAAGAGTTTTCATAACTTTTTCACTTTCAGCAATAAGTTGCGACGACTTGTTTTGACTCAAAAGATTCTTGATTCTGAGTTAGCGTTTTACACAAATTAACTAAAAATGGATCATAGAATTTGAATCTTCATGTTGAAATTTGTCTGTGACGAAAACTTCATGTTATTTGAACAGTCAGATAATTACCCATTTTTCAAAATTCTTTACATTTCACTGTAATTTGCTATTGCAGTAATATATTTTCGCTGCAGCAGCAAATTCAGATCCAGTCTTTAGAAAAATCCAACATTAAAAAATTATTAACTCGCATCCAAGCAGTCCGAGCGACCTGAAGTTTTGAAATCCCTAAGGGTAGAAATTCTCCAACAAAATGTTACTCTAAATCCAAGTTGAAAAGCCACTTATTGAATTCTCAATGTTAATTTTTGCTTAAAAAGCTGTTTCCCAAGATATCTTCAACAAAATAATTCCGCTAAGATGCTATTGTGAAATTGTGCTACACAACACTCGGAACGGCCATAAGCAGGTCAATATCGTCAACTTTATGCTGCTCGTTTCTGAACATCATTACAAATGCATGGATCTTTTTTGTTGTTATCACAAATGTGAAAAATCCTACGGACATTCGTTTCTAGCCTTGACAACTCAGATCAACATTGGGAAATGGGGGGCTGCAGGAGGAGCAAAAATAAACACGCCCATTGTCCATTGTGAATATTCTAAATATGGCAAAAAAATGAATTCAAGGACTTTTAGCATGGTTTATTGTTTTTACAATCTTAAATACAGCATTTAAATATTTACTGATTAAATATAAATGACTAAAATGATTAAATTTTACAACCCCAATAAACGACAGTAAAAAACATTCAAAGTCACTCCAACGAAAAGGGGCTTAACTGGTCAAATTATAATTGGATTGTAATATAAATACATCAGGTACAAAATAAACTTTTACTTACAAACAAAAATATTGGGAGTGCTATGGTCGAATGGTAAAACCTTTTCAAATTGAAAACATGAAACTGTGATGGCTCATATGTTTACAGTTTGTAAATACGACCAGGCATTGACAATTCTAAAATGCAGCTTCAAACATAAGCGACATTCAATTTTGATTGGTGAAAAAAAGTTCAAATAAACAGCCAAGAACAAAATTCTACAAACACAAAAGCAGCATAATGCGACTTGAACAAAACCCCCCTCCAGCACAATAAAGAGCGTTTAAATAGAAGATCAAATCTTTGACGATTTTATTGAAAGTGAAGATGCAGTAATTGAACACTTTAACAAAAAATAAGCAAAATTTAAGCACCCAGGTCGAGGGCTGTTGTCTGACTCTAGACCGCCTAACCCTCTGAAAAAATGCTTAGATCATAACCACGTGCAGCAGAAAAAGAAATCGTCCCGCAGAAGAGAAAACAAAAAGTTGCCTTCTACCAAGGTTAAAAGTTAGAAAGTCGAGCAAGTTGTATAGTGAAATATCTAGCTATACGCGACGAGAGTTTTCGAGTGCAAATGTATAGTAAAAAGCCGAGGACCCAGTGGAAGATTAGTTGTTAGACTAACCTGGTTTTCCCCTTTAAATTAAGTTTGATCTATCTATCTTAATCTAGTCGTTTGCTAAATCTAAATCTAAGCTTAAAAGCCAAAAATTTGTATGGATGACAGAACGTCCTTCTTACTAAAGTCCTTCAAGGTAAGGAGGGGTTTGTCTTTTTCAGCTGAAGATCAAAATCAACTGAAAATATGAAATCATTATGCGCTCTTACAGGTGTTGTGCGCGGTATTGAACTTCAATCGAAACTCGTCCTATTCATGAATTGGTTGAGACTTCATTGGCTACACATATTATTCATGAACTTCATTGGCTACACCAAGAAATGAATTGTGAACGGGCAGACGTAAATAGCCTCCCATTATAGAGACAGTTGGAAATCTTGGAAAGCTATTTTTAAACTTCAAGAACACTATTTTGCTTTACTCCGAGTGCGTGCTTTCGTCGAGCGGCGACTTTTCTTTTTTCTTCTTCGCCTGGTATTGTAAAACAATGTTTCTGCAAAAAAGTATAAATCAAGTGAAGATCTTCAACGAAACTTTAAATACTGGACAAAATAGTAACTAAGTCGGAAACATCTGACAAGCACTATCAGGGTTTTACTTTGGAAAAAACTATCTTTATGCAAGAAAATTTCTTAAATGAAATGAAAGCGGGAAAATGTTTTGACATTTTGAAAAAAACAAATTGCTTTCACAAGTTGATCTGACTAAATAGGCGAGAAAAAGAGAGAATTCGATTAGTAACAAGTTTTTGGAAGGAATTTTGAACTTTCGGGAGCAAAGACCTGTTGAACAATCAACTTAATTTTGTCACTAGAGGACGATGTTCCTCTGCTTCCTTTGCAGCGGTCACTAAACCAAAGGCGTGTTTTCTATTCCTTGATCTTCTCTACGAAACGTTGTAATATATACAGGTGGGGAAAAAGTGCTTACCTGAGACCGTACCCAAATAAAAATATGGATATGAGTATTGCAACAATTGATCCGATGAACCAAGTGGAAGTATATTTGTAGATGAGGAGACTGAGCAGGAGCATTGCTGCCATCAGGTCAACGCAAAACGTGTTCACAGCTGAAAATAACAAATGTGATGTCAGCATGACGTCAGCATGACAAAATGTATACATATAGCTAAGATGCCGGGAGAAGATAATTCATAAATAGGTGAAGAAACAAACATTTTTATATGAAAATGCACAAGAAAGGCCTGAGATATGCAATCCCCTGATTTCTTGAAGACAGTGAAAAATAGCTCTCAAAATCGATTTGCAGCTTGTCCTGCTTTTTAGTCTTTACATATAATTGATAGATATGTGCAAAATACTTGCAGTCCTTGAAATGTTTTCCTACACTTAAAAGTCCCTCTGGCACATAAACCAGTTTACATGTGTAATGAGTTTTGTGATAGTCTTCAAGGAAAATTGACATCACGTTGTTATGACTTACCATCTGAAAATAAAACCTTGCTTTTAAGCTTCTGGGAAATGGAGTATTTTGCCCAGGCCAATGCAGTGTACACTACCATCGCGATTGCAGCAATTATGCACAAAATGTAGGGCTAGAATAAAACGAACCAATCACTGAAACACTTGCGACACACAACGTAAGATTAACAGTTGATAAAAAGAAAACCTGAAATATTGCATCAAGGGAATCGCATAAATTCAATTCACAGTCATTTCTTTATAATGGGCATTTATAATGGGCATCACAGACATTTATACTTGTTTTCTTAAGACGTAACGTACATGTAGATTCTCGGAGTTGGTTCAGTCTAGAGCAGGACAGGAAGAAAAAAGTACAAACTAATGGCTTGAAAATGTAGAAAACCTGCTTGAAGTATAATGGTTAAGATGAAAAAAGAAACGCCAATGCTGGTTTTATAGGTCGGGCAAAAACTAAAACCAGAAATAAGTCTTCACAACGAGATGAAAATAAAAACACATTTAAAGTTATTACTTACATGGTAGGGTTTGTTTGATCTGGCAAGATCAAATATAGCTTTCGCAAAAACACCAAAGCTTGACAAAATGAAGAGGATGGAAATGCTGAAGACGGCCCTGTAGAATAAGGCAAAGAATAAAGTTGAAAAGGTGTATCTGAAGTCAGGGATACCTTGAATGCATAAAAAATCCTGCAACAGTCGCTCAAGAGCCAATGAAGTGTAACTTTGCGTGCAGCCTGCCTGCAGCCTCTGTGATTCGATTAAATGACATCCTTGGTACCAGTGAAAAAATTTTGTTCTCCGACAAATAGATTTTGCAGCAGGCACATTTGCCCGTGAGATCCACAATCGATTTATGGCGAGTGGAGGTTAAGACTAACGCGGAAAAAGAATTTAAATCTATTGACAAGGGGAATGTTTTGGGCCTTAGAATTCCAAACCTTCCCTGCTTCTATGATTAAATTTTCACTTACATTCAAGTTGTGAGCGTGACAGAACTAAAGCAAAACTTGGAAAACTCTCATGATTTCATTAAGAAAACAGTGATTGTGTGCTTTGACAAATGGATTTTTTTAAGACGCTCAACCACCACGTGATTCTGATAACAGAAGAACTGGAAGCAAGCTCGAAAAGTGTAAATGGTAGGGATTGACAGAGTGAAGCCACAAAAATGCAGTTGGGGAATCGAAAATATCTAAAATAGAGGGTTACTAGAACAGCTTAAGACGAGAATACGGAAGAGGTTAAAGGAGCAATCACTGTTCTTAATTACGAGAAAATGATTAAGAACAGACCATTGAACTGGCGGACCACGTTAGCAATGCAGCTCGCACGCAGCATCTTCATAGGACATGGTTTGAGTTATAACCAAGACAAGCTTTGGCAAACCACAACTACTACCTAATGGAGACATTTTTTATTTATGCCGACATAATCGAAATTGATTAGTCAATTCTTGATGGCAAATGAAAAGGCAGCAAGGGATTAGTTTGGTCAAAAGATACATCAATCATGAATAACAATCCATGTTCTCTTTATAAAATGCCAATGGAGGAGGCTTTGCAGGGAAAGGCAAAGGGGTTCTTGAGGAATCTTGTAACTAACAATGCAGCAATGGCGTTCACCTTTGTTCTCTTGCGTAAGAATAGTGTTCACCTTGGTAGCCACAGAATCTCCACACCACAACCAATGTAGTTGCTATGTCAACAAATGAATCCATCTACGGGTAAGACAACATAACCATTACTGCAAATAAATTCTAAAAGACTAAAAACAGCAACAAAGAACAAACTCAAAATAATTTCCAACTGTCTATTGAACAATAGTTGTCAATCACTTTGATTTACTACAAATACTAAACAACTTTCACACTACTAATAGCACTATTCATATTCCAAGAAGTGTTCAAAGAAAATAGCCCAAAATTTTTGCAAAAGTTTCAGCCATTTCACATTTAGAGCTGGAATGTGAATAAAAAAAGCAACTTACAGCCATCCCAAATGTTCCTGGGCTTTGGTAAATAATGGACAGCACTGCAAAATAGATAAATCAAAATATACATGTATATAGATACACCCCTTTCTATTAAAAAAAGGGGGAAATCTTTCAGAGGTACAAGCACCTCCAGATTTATAACTAAACAAGTTTCTCTACCAAAAACAACTAATATAATTGTAGATGTTTTAGTCAGATCCCTATTTTCACCACTAAGATTGGTATTTTCACAAGTTTCAAGATCGATATGATACCTGGATGAGGGCAACCACAAACTTTCATTTAAGAGGCATTTTTTAAATATTCTATAAGTGCAAGAAAGCTACAAAATAAATGTGCATGTCTTATTTGGGTGTCTCTCTAAGGAAGAATGTATTTTCAGGTACCACTGTATAATCATGAAACTCAGTGGCGTACTCAGAGTTGCAGCAGTGGGGGGGGGGTCTGGGGCCCAGCCCCCAGAATTTTTTGGGACACGCCCTTCAAACTCTCGCAAATGCAGGGAAACGCCCTTTTTGCAAAATTTTCCCCCATTATTTAATTCATACAGTATACTACTCCCCCCAATGAGTTTTACATCATTTTTGGACAAATCTCGAGGACCATATTTTAGAAAAGTGGGGGGATCTGGACCCCCCCATTCCCCCCCTCAGGTATGCCACTGAGGAAACTAGTAGAACATGATGGCTAATGTCAGAGAAGGTCTATTATCAAATTTCTATGGGAAATTACCATCACACCCCCTCAGATTCTGAAATTACCATTGGACACTTGGGAATTTTCCCTGGTACCTGATATAATAGGTCCCTTTTATGGCACTGAAAGAGCATACTTATTTAAACCTGATATGAAAAATCAAGTTTCTGTACCAATTTCAAATAGGCCACTAGTATATAAAGTAAAATATGTAATGTAAAGATACCTACCAAGTGATGCAAATCCAAGGAAGAACTCAAATCCAATTGACAAACCGCAAACAACCAAAGCTGCTTTTCTCCACTTTTTGTAGACATTTAAGGGCAGTCCACTACAACCATCATCAAACTCTGAGAGGTGAAAATTTATCTTTACAATAACAGAAGGTATAAGTAAGGACCAGTACAATAAATACAAGGCAAAACATGTGCATTATTAAGTTAAGTGCAAAAACTGGCACAATGCACAATTAAATACTTAATGCACTTGTTTCTCTTGTAGGTCTTGAAGTAAATGCATATGGGGACCATAAATTTGTAACACTGTACAAACAAGTAAAGCTTCTGACCCTTCCCCTAAACATACTTTGTTTATGGCCTACTCATCAATGCTTTTGCAAAATAAATCTTCTATATTAATTCAAATGTAGTGCTAGCTTTGATCATACTCTTAACATTTCTCAGTGAGCTTGGTACAACTCTGAAAAGGGGTGTCACACCAGAAAAAAGCTACTGTTCCCAAAATAAACTGAGTCCAGTTTATGTCACGACTCATGACATGTGACACATTACACATGTCTCAGTGCTCAAAACCATAGGAATGAAAGAGGAGAATACAAGAAAAAACCTATTCCTAGGACTGATAGAAAATGTCCTTATTGTCAAACTTTAAATAAAGCCCCCCCTTGAAGAAGCCCCTACCCTAGAACTACAAACTGTTAATAAGCCTTCCTCGAAAAAGCCCCCACTGCTACCGTAAATTTTCAAATTGGACCCCTCAATTTGATGATTTTTGCCATCTGAGGTTGCCTATGGCGTTTTATTGAATTACCACAACAAATTCATACTTTTGGTAGTAATTAATTAAATTCTTATAAAGAAATTCCTACTAAAATAAATGATGTCTTTTAATAATGTCTACTATAATCGTATAAGCCCCCCCCCCTTGAATAAGCCCCCATCCAAAAATATCAAAAACAAATAAGCCCCCAGGAGGCTAACTCAAGGATTTACAGTATAACTGCTCTGGAGGACGAAATCTATTTTTTCTCAGTTTTTCAGTCCCCTTATAAGGCCTATTAAATGAAATTTGACAAGTTTAGATAAAGGCACACTTTTTGTAAGCAAAATTTACTAATTTCAATGACCTTATGTTGAGGTGATTTTTTTTTGCGGAACCGTCTTAAAATTTAGGTTGAATATCCCATTTTCACGTTTCAGACTGTGACAAAGCGCTGTTATCTGTGACGTCACAAAGTTTGCAAACACGAAAGCAGTTGATGTTTAGTACACAGAGGTCGTTAATTAAACTACCGTTAAAATTGCCAAAGGGGGCAATTTTAAGTCAGGGTACATCTCCAATCTTTTTTAGCGCATCAAACTGTCCTTTTTGCAAAGTTTCATACAGTTGTACCAAAGTTCGACTGACATACGATAATACCATCTATTAACATCTTGGGTGGTGTAATCCAGTCTTAAAATAGAACAAGGGGGAAATTTTCAGATGAAGTCTTTATCCTATCATTCCCTGCATATCAGATTGCTGTCTTTTGCAATGTTTCCTGCTATTGTACCTTCTTTTGGCAGAGATATCAAAATAATGTCGTTTGTGGAGTCATGCGATAAAATACCCAAGTCTAAAAATAACCCAACTGGGCAATTTTCTGTCGGGGTCTATATCCTATCTTTTTCAGCGTATTACTGTCCTATTTTGCACTGTAGTACTAAAGTACAATTGAGATGCAATCAAACTGTCTTTATAGGTCTGGAGCAAAAAACCCCAGTCTGAAAATAGAAATGGGGACAATTTTCAGTTATGTTCCATATCTTTTGTACTGCATCAAACTGCCCCATGTTGTAAAGTTTTGTTCTACTATACATACTTTCAGGAGAGATGTTGTAATAATAATACCGTTAGGGGTTTGGGCAGAGAGCCCCTGTCTAAAAATAGCTAAAGGGGGCAATTTTCAGTCGGGTTCCATTCATATCTTTTTCAGCGTATCAAACTACCCCTTTTTCATTTTATATTGCCACAACATGTAGAAGTTTCAGTTTCTTACAAAAAAACTGTATGTGAAATTTCATTTCATAGGCACTTTAAATACTGCTAGGAATTCTATGTAATCTAAGATTTATTCAAATTCCCAGAATTTCATCCCTTGATCTTTTTGATAAGTTGAGTCAAGTTATTGAGTCAAGAAGATATGGATTATCTTATATCAATTGCTAGTTTTATACAGCTGGCTTTTGAATCACAGGAATCTTTTGGGAAGTCCACTATGTACATTTTGTTTATAAGAACAATTTTATAAGAACACTTTTTAAAAAGAACAATTTTTTATAAGAACACAAGCCTCAAAATTGGTCAAAAGTTAGGAACAAACTGAGCTGAGGCTGAGCTTCTGCAAAATTTCAATTTGAACAACGTTTTTTCTCAAAATCAAGGATTTTTAGCGATGTGTGGGTGCTCTTTTGGTAAATATTTAAATTTGTCAGCAAATTAAGGTTGTCTCACTCATTTTGTTGAACTGAACACCACCCTAGAGCCAAAAAGCTAGCACTCGCACTGCTTACACCTTATTAGATTATGAACAAATTAAGAACAATCCAGCCTCAGATTTTCAAAAAAATTAAGAACAGTCAGCCTGAACTTAAATTTACAATTTCTTAAATTTACAAAGGTTCTTATAAAAAGAGTTTGCATAGCTACATAACAAAAACTGTATAGCTTATAATCATTTTTTACATTTGCTTGTATTTTTAAAGCTGTTTGCTGAATTCTGAGATTTATTGTTAATTTGTAATCATGGAAACTATGTTAACTTTTAACGACCTACAAGCCTTTTGTAAACAAAAACATTTTGTTTATCTCAAAAAGAGCTTCAGTAATAATATCCATAATAAACATCAACCAACAGACACAATTTAAATTACAATTTTCACCAAAAAAGCACAACATGATGAACTGTAGCTGTTGGCTGCTTTGTTTCCCAGTATTAAGAAAGACCAGAAAACCTCACCTTGATTCTCGTCGTAAGTTGAAACACAAAGAGATTCATTGTCGCTTTCTTGAAGATCTTCGCTCACTTGTTTAAGCAAAAACGAGAGCTGGGGCTGTGACGGTAGCAGTTGTCGCTTAGACATCTAGCTTTCAGGTACATTCAGCCTTTCGACCTTCAACAAGCTATTAGCTTTTAACCCGTTTAAGACTTCTAACTTATATCTGAGCCAGTATGGGCCTAGTTTTAATGGGCTCCTTCTTCCAGCTTTTAAATCGACGCATTGCACCTTCCTCTAATGGTTTGTAATACACTGAACTAAACAGACAGGTCTGTTGCTCACAGTAAGGATGTTTATGCAGCTGGTGTTCTTTCTTTCATTTCTGCAATTCACCAGTCGGCTAACAAACAGGACACCAGTTTCCTACGACACTAGCGGGCGCTGCGGCTGCGCATTACTTTTGGCCCACAGCACAATAGGTCAAAAAATTCCCTGCTAGATATCTCGAGATACCAGGTCCGTCGGAAGGGGGGGGGGTTAGGGGGAAGGGGGAAGGGGGCTGGGGATCTGGAATGCCAGACTGTAGTGACACCGTCGTAAAGTTTAAGTGATCTAAGACTTTTGTGCCTTGGGTGTTGACGTTCTAAGACAAACTTTTGCTAGAACGTAGAGAAAGAGGAAATAAAGAAAACAGAATATTTTCTAATAACATCGACCTACATATATAGCATTTAATTCAATTTCTAATACAATTTTATAATCCCTGATCTATGTTTTACATCAAATATCAAAATGAACGCATTAATAACATTTCTAAAAGAGTATTTAATTATGTTAAAGAACCCCAGACCCGAATTCCCAAAAAGAAGAAAATGGTGATCACTGTTATAGAGCACCTATTAATGACATATTCCTGTTAAGCTGATGGCCACACCCTTAGATTTTGTATGATGAAAGGCATGTATAGAAAAACTAATCAATTTTCAAGAAGAGTGTTCACCGTAGACTCAAAAAAGCTCACAGCTTAATGAAAGAAGAGGGATTGCTTTATTAAATACTTAAAAATGTTTTGAATTCTAAACGGTCGAATTTGATACCGTGAGTAAATCGCTTACATTTCGCATCTGAAAAGCAACAGCCAATGGCTGCCTCATTTGGGTGCCTGGTACATTATTAAGTGCGAATCTCCTTATGGCGTTGATCTCTTTCTGATTTAGTGATGGTTAACTATGGGGCTATAGAGGCCAGTACTGAGAAGTTATTCTTAAAACATGAGTTCACGATTTTAAATAAAAATCACTTTCTTTGAAAATCATTTTAAAGGCTCTTACCATGTTAAATATTCCAAAATCATTGACCGTTGACTTCAGCAAGGCTTCGATATTACAAGAAACAACAAACTATATGTACAAGCGACCTGACTTTAAACAAATTAAAAAATGTTTACACATTTGATATTATTTACAGTTTCTTTAAATTTTAATAAAGAGCTAATTCTTAAAAGTTACGTGACAAAAATGCAAAAACAGCGAAAATGGGAAGCGACAATCCGTTACAAGAAATCAATGAAATACAACCTTTGGAAAAGACAAAAAACTAACAGCGATGAGAAATGACTAGTGGAAGCATTCCAACGAATTTCGTTACCAGCGAAATTACGGCAAGAAAATTACAAAAAACGGAGGAGACAGGTTCAGCTCATCTCTTAATCTGAATCACCTATAAAGATAAGAAAATTGAAATTTTCTCACTAAACAAACAACAAAAGCATAAATACAAATAGAAACAAATTTCCACTCGCATAAAACATGCGATTATATGTATTATTAAGAGAAACATCAAGAAACCTGTTACAAGGAGAGACAAAGAGAAATAAACTGTTAGTCAAGTACCAATTCAATGTTGATTTCGATCCAAAATCATGTACTTCCCACAATAATTGTTGCATCAATAAAAGCTCACATATGACTGATATAATCCATCAAATATAGTATTAATTCTGTTGCATACCATTCATTGGCTTTGTAATGGACTGGGCATATCTGGAGGACTGGGCTCCATCACTGGCACTGACAAATCAAGAATCCAAGAAGTGCAGCTATCAATCGCCTAGAATAAAGGATGACACGTGACTCCACAATCTAGAATGAACGAATTGGCTTACTGCTGGCAGGGGTGACGGTGGAGTGTGAATCAAGGCAAAAACCAAGAGCAGATAGATAAACATGGTTTTCGACATAGAAAGACAAGGTTTTCGTCTAAATCAAATTTCAAATCCGTTGATCAAAACGTCACTGCAACAAAGTTTCGCTCAAATGACACCGTCCCTACCTGTCGATATCTGAGAGAGAATTCCTTTGTCCAGGTTGAGTGGACAGTGCTTAATCGTAGCATGATCTTTTCACTTTCTTCAATGATTTTTTCGACACGACTCTGATTCCCTCTGAGTTCATCTAATACACCCTGCAAATATTATCAAATTATCAAATGTAACAGTGGCTTTATACCAAGAGTATCTACTAATAATAATATGATTTTAATCAAGGTAACTCTCTCTTGAGAGGCTTACACAATCCTACTCGTGGATTCACACAATCCTGCTCATGGATTCACGCAATCCGGCTGACGGATTTACAGAATCCTGCTCGATTTACATACTCCTGTTGATGGCCTATCCTTTGACTGATATGAGAACCAGTCACATCCAGTAACACATCATTATTATTGCCATAAAAAATTTACATATAATTTTTACAACTATCAATGTCATGATAAAACGACATTTTTCACCTGAAAAACAGGAACAACGCTTTGAGCAAAAAGCTGAAAGCAAGCAGGATTTTTCGTATTAAATCGTGCTCAAAATTAAGAGTTTGGTACCTAAGCTTTCAGTAACATTGTACCAATGTGGCTACTTGCGATTGCTAATTTGCATATTGAAAGGCTAACCTGAAGCTCGTTGATCTGCTGTCCTTCCTCTAAATCCGAAACAAACGGCTGCAGTTTAATCAACTTCACTTCAAGATCAGTAAGCCATTGTTCAATATTCCTCTGCTTTTCATCGAGTGAATTGTGAGTGAGGACCGCCTCATGCAATTTCCACACAGGAGCAGCAGCATTATCAAGACTTTCTTCTCTGCTTCTCCAGCTTGGTGAAATAGATTCTGCACTACGAGCCCGTAAGGGAGGTTGGCATACCTAGCAAAGAGGTTCGTAGATTAGGGGTCAAGAACTTAAAAAAATATCCACTGGAAGTTTTTGTATCGGAGTATGACAAAAGAACTCTTCATGAGAGAGAAGCGTATTGCCACAGCAATATCTGCAATGGTCAACAAATGACACAACGGCAACTCCCCCAAAACTTTAGTGGGGCTCTCTCTGTATCAGCATAAAAAGTATATAGCCGAATGGCTTTTGCCTATCGTGGCTCAGATCTCCAATCAGTTCTGTCACTTAAACTCTTTTTCTACTTGATACAATCATCTCTCTCTGTAAGTGATACCCATTTATAAACTGTACATTGAATACTCATAGACAAAAAAAAGTTAAAATGTTTGAAAATTTCAGAAAAATATAGACAGAAAAATTTAATATAAACAATGATAATTAAGAGATTTTATCAATACCATAGTTGAATCTACGGGATCGCCACGACGACCGTTTTGAGACGGCTCAGCTTTCTTCAACTTTTGCCTTATATTTGAAAGTGCTGCGCTCAGCAGGCCGAAATCACTGTGCCAATCGGCTGAGAGGCGAAACCCAACCTCGGTTTGATGTTGCAATGACTCGAGACTTCTTTGCAAATTATTCCATCGTTGCTCAAAACTGCTTTTCACTTGCAACAGTTCGTAAAAGTCTTTCTCAACTGGACAGGCATTTGAAGTATGTTGCAGATGCTGAAAAAAGACATTTCTTAAAGATCACGAGAAAATCAAAAATAAATTTTGCTGAATCACTGCTGTGTATCTTGGCAAAGAATGTTAACATTTAGCAGCATATGGGCAGAAATGCTAGCGAACGCAAATCATCACCGAACACTTTGATGAAACGTTTTGTATTTTCATGATTTTCTACCTTTACATGGAACTCGGCTGTTCGTATGATCACTTTGTTAGGGGATGGGATTAGTTTGGATCTAGCATACAAACAATCCGATGTCTATATTGCTATAAAGAAATGAAAATCTGTCAAAGTGGTAAATAAAAGAATTACCTGACATAACCTTAAAACTGAGAAGACGTCTGCCTGTCTAGACCTAACTTCCGCAGACAAAACCTGGAAAGAAAAGCAAAAATAATTAGGAAAGCTTATTCCACTGAAATTGCAAGGAAGAGGATCATCTGAACCAACTTGATTCAAATGGACTAGTAATCTGATCACGTTAGCAGTAAACCTTTCCAGCGGTCAGCTTACCGTAACAAACAGCTGCAGTGGTTTCGATTTTTTGACACAAAAAGTAAATCTATCCAAATGGCAAGTACAAAGCTGGACAAAGGGTGACCGAGTAAGAATACAAAATAGCTATTTACGAAAGAATTAAAAAAAATCCTGCTTACCTTTAAATCCAGAATACGCTGTCTTTCATTTCCTGCTTCATCTGGGTGCAATAAAAATTCGTGAACTCGTTTCTCGATTCCTTCGAGCCAAGAATTTAGCCTAGTAAGCATTGCCTCGAATAGTTGCAAACCAAAGACAGTTTCCTCTACTTTCTTATAACTCTTGCCCAGGTCTCTGCATAAGGACTGCCAGCGGCGACTGATGTCATGCAGACGGGTTTTTACGTGCTCTGAATATGGTGCGTTGGGCGCAGAACTAACGATTGTGACAACAAAACTTCCGAGTCTTTTCTTCGCAAGCTCGTATTTTTCTAAATCTTTCATGAAAATCTACAGAAGGGCAACAGTAAGCAAAGGTTGAATATATAAAGACTGGGTTTTTCTTCTGGCTCTTAATACTAAACTTTAAACAAAAGTGAAAAGATGAGCCAACTGGCATTCATCGAGCATTTATAGCGCGAAAACCAAGCATGTAGTAATCTTACCTTTTGAATCAAATCCTTTTGACCTTGTGCATTTCCAGCAACATTCTGTTTCATAAGCAAAGCCTCATTGGTTGATAGCCACTGGTCGAGCAACTTCCAAACTTCCTCCGCTTTTTCAATATTTTCTAGCAGTTCAATCATATGACGCAACCTTAGTTTCGTTTGGTGACATACGTCATCCCACAGCTTCGAGAGGATTTTCAATTGCCTTTTAATGACGACCTTATCGTTTGACGTCACCGATTTCAGATGAAGCAAAGCCTTGCCACACTCTTTGACAACAGCGAGCTCTGACCGCATTGATTCAATATTGACGCCAGTAATCTGGAAAAACAAAACCAACACAACTCAATCATTTAATATCTTATAAAAGTTACCAGTGAAGGACTGCCTATCTGAAGAAAAAAGCAGCATTTACGACAGCGGAATGTACCACGAGAGAATTCACGACAGTAGAATTCACGAGAGTAGAGTTCACGTCAGTAGAAATTATAATAGGATAATTTATGACAGTAGTAGAATTAACGACATTGGAAATCACGACAGAAGAATTTACTTCACAAGATAAACCGTACCTTGCACTTTTCAAGGTACTTTTCCAAGTCCTGCTTCGTAAATTCACCAACAGAAATTCTTACAACTTTTTCGACATCACGCAACCAAGACATCAATGTTTCCATTCTCTCGGTGTATTGTTCCCACGCCTCGAGTGTGATCTTCAAAATGTCCACTCCTCGTACACTTTCGTCCTGTAAAGTTTCCCATGTATCATCAAGACATTTCGTCAGCTCTGTGACACCTTCCTTGATTCCTCCACGTGTCCTTGTCAAAAGACCTCTTCCAACTCTAGTCACCGTCAAATATGCAGGCCTGTATCTTTCGATTTTTCTTCGGCACGTCTAAGAAATACGAAATTAGCCCATTATCACAAAAGCATCTATAACAAAGATATGGGATAAACAATTTGGGATAAAAATAGTCATAGCATAAACGATTTGAGTTGAAGTCATCAGCGATTTGAGATGAAGTCATCAGCGATTTGAGATGAATACAGGAAGAATTTGAGATTACTTAAATAAGAATAATCATAAAGTTGATAACAATTGAAGTAAAGGCTCCTTACGAAGCTGTTTTACTTACGATCAAGTGATCGAACTGCTCCTTTATTCCCTCAATACTAGAACTAAAAATGCTTGGGACAGACTGTGTCAACCTTCTCTTCAAGTCTTCACTCACATCCAGCAATTCGTTCGCCAGTCTTTTAAACTGCTCATATTTTGACGAAAGGTTGTCGGCGCTTCGCCTGATTTTATTCAAAACAGCAGAAAGTTTTTGCCAACGTTGGTTCATTCGGGTCAATGCAAGTTCCAGCTCTATATTGCAATTATTATTCAAGAACAGATTCATATCCAATTTCTCAGCAGCTTTTCTTTGACTTTGCAGCCATTCTCCTAATCTTCCCATTCTTGCCTAGAACATCAAGACAAACAGGTTGGTTTGTAAACGGGTTAAAATACAATGCCTGTCTATTGCTGCACACAGCAATACTGCATTGCTCTCAATGATGGAATGAATTCAACTTTGCAGAATTTGTGAATTTTGCGAAAAACGTTTATCTCAAATCGACATATTTGTCGTCTGATGATTATCATGACGCATTGCCTAAGACTGGTGGAGGGCATTGGATACACCCCCGCCCCTCCCCAAGAGTTCAGGGTTTGAAACACGACGAACTTGATAGAAGAGCAACTGACGAGATATTCCATTTATTTATGTTAAACTTGCTTTCCAATATCTTTACGCAGGAAAATAGCAATAGAAAAAGAAAAGAAAAACAGCGCGTCAAACGAATGTAGCATGGAAACTTTAAAAAAAGTTTGTAGCAATACCTCCAGATCTGCCACGTCAATATTTTCGCAACCACTATCTTCTACTGAAGAAAGCAGATCCATAAAGTCGGCCATGGCTTCCAAAAGAGCGGAAGTGTCACTGTGAAAGGTTTTTAAATCACTCTGCAGCTCCTTCAACATCCTTGCATGTGCCACTAGCTCTGTCAGCCTATTCTCCACGTCAAACGTAACCCTCTGCACCTTCATTAGCGTGTCTGTTGAAGGTGCTTCGTTTGTTTCCCGCACAGGACATTGTCTGCTATACAGAATTCCTTCTAACAGGCAGAGTTGTTCTTCAGCCTCTTTTATTACATCCTATAATACCAATGGAAAAATTCAACGGAAAGTATTGCACAGCACAAATCAATCAATTTGTTCATTCAAAAAAAACCTAACTAAAAGGCTTTATCGCAGGCAAAGAATGTGAAAATTGTAGATGCTTGTATGTTTATATGCAAAAAATATAACAGATATTTGGCCATATGGTAGAATATCCCTCGATACGGCCCACCTTTAACTGGCGTTTGACGTACCTCTGTTTTCCTAATTTGTTCACTAAGCGGATAAATTTTCCAGTCGTGTTCGTTACGCCTAATTCGGTCAAACCAATTTGAAGAGTGAGCGAGTACTCTGCCGATGTCATTCCAGTGTTCCAGATCTTTTTGCAATCTGTTCAAAAAAATTTTGATGTTCAAAATAAAATTGAATCACGCATGAAATAAAGCAGCACATGTACATTGGCGCTAATCAAAAGTTGTTTCAATACTCTATTTCCAAAGAAAACTGAGATGCCAAAATGAGTTTATCCCAAAAAATGAAAAAAAGTGGAGACACTGGACTTAATATGGAAAAGGTTCGTTTGCAAAAAATTAGTTTTCATTTTCTTGGTAGTTACGGCATACATTTGAGAACATAATTTGAGTTTTTGGCACAGATCTTTGAATCAATAAATGGGTTGAGACCCATTACGGTAGGACATTATTCCTTATCACCCATTCATAGCACACAAAATCAAGTCACACCTTTCCCTAACAGTGTTGATCGTAGACATCAGGGTTTCTAGCCTCCTATCCAGATTCATATTGCTTCTCAAGCGATTTCCTTGACTGGGAAGCCTCCTTCGTAGTCTTGCTGACAAGTCGTTGATTGTCTTCATGCTTTTTCGATAGATCTCTACATCCTCCGATAATTTCTGAAATGGAAATATTGCTTGCGTTACTAGAGAAAACCTGAAGTTTAATACAGCATAGGTGAAAGGAATTGAATTAGTATTAATGTATGCAGCCAAAGCTAGACGCGCCATGTAGCCTTAATTATTAGGGTTTTTACATTAATAAGAATAAAAATATTATCAAAGCTGTCTTGAATTCCGTTTTTAAAATGCTTTCATTCCACGCACATCTGCAAGAACATTACTTCCAATCAAGACATATCTTGATTGGTTGTTTCCTCTAACCAATAAGAAAGGGTTTGCAAGGATGGATGCATTAAAAATGCTGTCATTAAAAAACATTACATCAAGTTAATTACTTAAACCTCGAAAATTTTCATTACAATGGCACTTCCCCTAAACGTTACTGCATAAAAATAACGCAATCATGAACTGTACATTATAGATGTGCTTTAATTTCATGTAACGAATGAATGAAATAATTATTTAAAAGAAATAAGTAGATCTTCATAAGAAAAAATCTTTAAAGCCTTTAGTTCATCATCAAAGCTTTAAAAATTTGCACTGACGGTGCATTGTCACTGTATGCAATTTACTGTAAGAACAAATCAAGAAATTTCAGACTTGTACAACTCACGTTTAGTTTTTCAAGCTGCCTCTGCTGAGCATCAATTGAGGAAAGAGGAGGCGCATTCATGATCAGAGCATAATCGGATTCTTTCGCTTTCACCCACGCCTCCAAATCGCGTTGTACCTGCTCGTGATGAATCAGCTGACAGAAGCACTCCGATAAATCTGCACCTTTTGCCGTCAGGGAGCTTCTCAAACTGTTCGCTCGATTTTCACATTGCTTCAAATTTTCCTTCAGGTTCTTCAAAAACACACATTTCAAGTACGTTGAATCATCGCAACTGTCAAAAAGTCGTTGTTGTCGCTGCAATTTCTGCTTTACATCCAACAAATCATTCTGCAAAATCTAAAAGAAATTCGGCGCTGAATGAAGTGAACAGAAACAAAACCAAAAGACAAGATCATTATCTGTCTAGCTGTGAGCGAATTGAGACGAACCTATCCCAGCTCATTTCCATAAATAAACTACAATTCAATAAAAACCTTTAGTGCTCGCGTCCGGCTGATAAAATCACAGTTACATGTCATTACAAAGGTAAAAAAGGAAGTCAAAATCAAAATGCTGAATAGACTGACTGTTCGTTTGTAAACCCATGACGTCACTAAAAATAATTTGTCTTCTATTCGTGCGCAGATGCCATTCTTCTATAATCAATTGCACTGATTGGATAGAGACGGCGGCAACATGACGTCGTGGAAATAGAAATGTAGATTTGAAAGGGTTTAGATGAGACAAACGGACTAACCTGGATTTCGTTGAGGCGTGCGTTCACATTGGCCGAGTTCCATTCCGTTAGCTCTGCTTGTTGTAAAAAGGTTTCCACTGTCTCTAGCGATGTCGATATGCTATCTTTCTCTAATTCATGGACGCGAACTAAATCTTGCACCTTGAACCAGGCTTCTTCATCGTTTTCAGTTTGTCTGAAAATCTTTCCGTACCTGTCCACGAGGTATTTTGTTTCTTGCGAAAGATCATGACTTGAAATCAAGGAGTTTGTGCATAATGAACAAGACACGTCTTCTATCATACGAATCATGGGCTGGGCGTCCACCATAGAGGTGCTCACAAGCTGTAAATTAAAATTACGTCATGTTGCAAATTATATAACATTGTTTACACTCTTATGATGTATCAACAAAAGATTAACAGTTTAACAGCATAGTGATTCGCAAGAATTATCAAAAATTATATCAGTACAAATTAGCAAGAAATAAGGACGATAATAGAATAATAATAAGAAAACTGGCCCGATTGGGAATCTACCTGCATCGACGCATGTGTGCGATTCAAACCATCAGCAGAATCAGAACTCGAGACATTTTCTAAAAACTTCTCAGCGCGTTTCAAAACATCTTTAATATTTCTAGAAAGCTCTTCGTATTTTGCCGTTTCAATAAAAAGTCCCTTCGTATCATTTTGATGATTCTTCAGCTCGTGATCAAGCTTATCCAACCTGGTCTTGATTACGTCAATCCTTCTTGCATTTCGATGTGAGAATCCAAGAACCTCTGGCAACTCTAGGTGTTTTGCATTCAGCTTGTCCAAAGACATTTGCAGTTTCTACAAGCGAAAAATATTGGATAGAAAAATCCTCAAAAAAATAAAGCAAATGGAATTTTTTTACTTTCATCGGACTTCATTGGAAGACAAAATAAACAATTAGTACCTGGCAAAATTCTTCTTCTTTTTTCACTTCTTTGCTGTCTTTCAATGTCTCTTTGGCACACCGGTTTTCAAACTCAGTTTCACAGTCCTCTAATTTGTCTTCCAAATATGCACATGTTCGCTCCAATGCACTTGATTCCATCTCGTGTGACAGCTTTTTCAAAAGATCTATTCTTGATTTCAATTCAGCTTCTAGAAGTTCCCACTGACCTTCAAGCTCCATGATATTGTTGTTAATACACGTATTGGAAGATTTCACCTGGCTTTGAATGTTCTTGCCCAAAGTAAAAAGTTGTCTTTTAAGTCTCTCTTTCTCCTTCAGTTCATCCATACGGCCCTGAAAGCATATTAGATTCTATTTTATTATTTGCAGCAAAATTTGACTTAACCTGATTCAACCTGTTTCTCCAGTTCATATTTTTGCAGTTCAAGCCATTTGGTATTCAAAAGCCCCAGGACACATCAAAGGAGCTACCGAAAAAGCAGGTGGCGGCGAATGTGAAAGTTCTTGGGGACAGTGAGTCATGGAGTAAGCTCCTATCTAATGAAAACGATTACCTTTGTATCAATAAAAAAGTTTAATTGTCTGCGAAATTTCGTGCTATTTGCATCTCAATATTTGGGAATTCGAAAGCTGCTATTAAACAAAATACGATTTACAAAAGGTGAAGAGGTTACTGACCACAGAGACTGCAAGCTCTTGGCCGAGCATATCCAACGACTTGAAGGTCCGGTTGTCTTCTTGTGCTAAAATTCTGCAGGAGCAAATGCTTTGACTGAGATTTTGGTAGAGGTTTTCGAACTCACGCCACATTCTACACAAATTTTCCAAGCGAAGGCGTTCACTGCGAATTGTGTCCCGGAGTGCAAGCCACGTGCGGTTAACGAACTCAAGACGGTCGGCTATCGTTGCATTCCCTGTAGCCTCCATCAAAGCAACTGCCTCTTTCTCAATTCGATCCCTGGCCCTCTGCTTCTCGTAGGCTCTCTTCTCCAGCTCACCAAATCTTATCAATTTTATAACAACACTTTCTTGATCGTATTCCTCGCTTTCACTGAGTCTTTTCAATGGTACGCTGCTCAATTTGTCAGCCCATTCCACGATATGAGCACTCCGGGTCAAAAATGACTGCCAGAGCAAAACAATGTTCGTCATAGATTTCAACTTCTCTTGCATTGCATCGTAAAGTCTCTCCGCAGATTCCATTAAAAACTTGTATTTCGCCTCGGTCTCGTCTGAAAACGAGACACCCATTAATGACGTCAGTTGTTCGTACATAAACTGTATGGGCATCTGTTTGCTTTTAAGCGCATAGGCCAGTTTCTGCAAGAAAAATTGCAAAAGTAAAGAACTATCTATTTTTGTATGACACGCGTGCATGCAAGAAACGCGTCCATTTTAACCTATTGTGAAGAGACTTAAAGTTGAGTTTTTCAAATGCTATGAACACGGATGTGACGTTTGGAGGAATGAATCATCAAATGTTTGAAAAGACAGTTACCAAGAATCAGCAAATAAGGATAATATTACGATCTAACTTACTTGAAACTCTTCAAGTTGAACCTTAGCCTCGCCTAACTCGTCTGGAATCATCGATATTTGGATTCTACTTTGCACAATGTTTTCATGCTGGGAAAGAAAGGCAGCAAACATTTCCAGTTCTTTTTCAAAAAAATCTCTAGCATAACTTCGATCAAAGGGTAGCAAGAGCCGACTGCTGGTGAATGGGACACTCAGAACAACTGGTGTAGCACAAGTCGAAGAGACACTCATTTCATCGGGAACTTCAGGCTCTTCAGCTTCGTCTAGAATTAGAAAATCGGGATTCTGCCTAGTCAGTTCTGATGTGACGTCATCGATTGCAGGAGTGAGTCTGCTGAGGACACCAAGTAACGAAGCAAACGCATGAGCATAAGACTGTTCGTTCTTCAACTTGTGTAAAAGCTCTTCCAGGAATTTCACCTGGTCTCTTATTGACTGAAAAATACAAAGACAGCTGTTTTAATTTCGTCTAGCGCGTTGATAGCAAGGAGCTTTTTTCATGATAAGGGAAAAATTATGTCAGATAATAAGAAAAGAAATAGAAATAGAAATAAAATAAAAACCCTTGTCATTATATTCTTTATGCATGCGAATGTTATATAAGCAAAAACGTTTTAAAGGTACAACCACGTGGACACTTACTGCTACGACCAGCTTCAAGGCAGCAAAGTCAACATCACGTGTGCAATTCAGTACATTTGGAAGCAGCTTAAATCTTTCAACTGCACCCTGTAGCCTAGTCAACCATCGCTCCAAACACTTCTGCCTGGAAGAACCTCGTTTAATTTCAGTTAAAGGGCTACTTCCATGCAACAGATTGTAAAAAGCCTTTCTTAACGCTGATTGCTTTTGTTCTAGTCGCCTTAACAAATGGTTCCATAGTGCTTCCAAATGATTTTGCTGATCTCTCAAACTCTCGCTGCAGTCACCGCTGATCAGTCCCTTGAGTTGCAGTCGCAATTCATGCATGTTAGGCACATTGGCACATACTTCAAACGCGATGCTCTGCAAAAAAAATTATTCGTAAGTCAAAAGTTGAAACTGGATGCTAGATGCCTGATACAATCACCAAACGAAATCTGGCTCTCGAAAACACGGCAAAGATTTCTACTAAATAAATTAGAAAAGTACATAAATTTGTAACAACAAATAAAAGGAACATGTTCCTACAACTTTGAACTTTATTATTGTTTGACGGACCTTAATACAAAAAAGTACAGAAATCATTAAATGGTAGGCCTTAATTTGGTGCATTTCAAACTGTAGTCCGCCTAGTGTCATGTGATTTTTAGAATATAAAAAAGTTACCAGATATCTCTCTGCCTGACGCTCAAATTTCTCAAGATCCAAATGTTTCTCAACTGAACGCCTCAGGGCCTCTTCACATCTCACCATCCAATCAAAAATATCCGAGAAGGAAACTTGATACCGCAGGTGACTGTCCGGCATAAACTCGGACTCCAATTCCCCGGTTGCAAAGCTTGACTTGAAAATCTGGTCTCTTGAACCATCTTCCGTTACATCTTCATATTCCCGTCTAGGCATAGCTGAAAAGACGGGTGGTTCTGAGAGAGCTCTGCCTTTAACCCTCTTCCAGTTCTCATTAAGACCATCTAAATGCTTCCGTACAACTTCACGTATGCTATGATCATTTGAATGCATTATCTGGTTGCCAAGAAGATTCAGCGAATCTACTTCAGATTGCTGGCCGCCAAGGACGCCAAATAGCTCCTGGCAGAAGAAAAACATAATTTCTAATTTCTAATCATTGTAAAAATGCCTACATTGCCAAAACCAAATGGCTACTTATTCGCATCAAGTATTATCTTTCAATCATCTTTCCAAGTTATCTATTATTCAATTTTGGATACCTCAAGTAACGTCTTTTACTTCCACTTGAAGACATTAATTAAGCATGCAGCCACATTTTGTGATCGAATCAGCAATAAGCTGGGAAATCCCATTACTTTCAAGTCATTATCATATAAAACAGTAATTTGATTTGGGTGTTAAGTTTCCATCATTCGGGTTAACCTTTCTCCAGCGGAATTATGAGGCCGTTTTAATATCAGAAGAAAGTTTGCAGACCGATTACGCTTTAGCTACAGCCTGAAGAAAATATTGACGCGGCTGCAATTTATCTTCACCAAAATATTTATCAACATACAATCAAAGATATTTCATCAGAAAAAGGTAAACGAAATACATACCCTCATGTGATTAGCAAGATCCTCTTCTTTTTCGTTTTCGCACTTGCTTTCGTTCATAACAAGTTTGTTGATGTTGCACATCGACTCCAAGCAGTTGCTTATTCGTTCGTAAAAGCCATCCATCCCAGCAGCCACCGCTTCATTAGTCTCGTTATCAATTAAATCATCTAGGCAGATTACTGCCGTTGTCCCTTCGTCAATATTTCCGCTGTCTCTCCTTTGATTCAATGCAAGCCGTTCGGCTCCAATGTCTTTCAACTGGCTACCAATTCTAAGAAGGACAGAATCGTTTTCTAGATCGGTACCAGATCCAGCGAAGTTTACACCATTTTCCTGTTCATCTTTGAGAGCTTCTTGCATATTTATTTCTCTCAAGCCCTCGTCTTTCATCACATCATTCTCCAGTCTGATCACACGCACTTCAAAGTCGCCTTCACCAGCCACCTCTATCGAACTCAAAGACACTGAATCGGGGCTGACATCTTCGCCTTGCTTTACCTCCTCGTTTTCTTTTCCTACTTTTTGTAGATCGCTTGCATCTTCGAATCCCCCAGCTCCAACATTTGTTGAAGAATCCTTGAAGTTATCATATCCCATGTTGAAAGGAGATTCCGACAAACGCTTAGTTGGAACCATTGCAAATTTATCTTGTGAGCCTTCAACAAAGTCTTCGGAAGAATCATTCTTTGCAACGCTCAATGCCTTCAGAGGAATAGCTAAAGGGTCTACCTGCTCAACAGGAGCCACAGAGACTGCTTTTATTGGTTCGTGTTCAATTTCGGCTCTTTGTGTCACGCGCAAAATTTCATGCTGCTTTTGCCAGTCTGCATCCATCGTTACATCTAAGGCTTCATCCAAAGAGTCACAGGATTCGTCGAAAACTGATTTCTCAAGCCAGTTCCAAACACGTGGGATCATCGGGCAAGGTTTTGAAGACAAAAGTGAAGGGGATGATGGTTCGTCCTGCAAGTTAGAACTCTGGTCCTCTACAGGTATGACACTCGGGGTTAAAGCCACATCATGTTCGGATTCCATCGACTGGCGACGGGGTGTTGGCGGGATTACTTCTATCATTGGAAGAGAAAGGTCAAGAGACTGCCTCCTTGGTGTCGGTGGTATTACATTTATATCTGGAGTCACCTCAGTCATTGACAAAGAGCGGCCGAAGGGCATCGGCTTGAAGATAAGCTCGTCATTAGTCGTTTTTGACGAGTTTCCAGATTCTTGACAGGACAGGGCTACAGAAACTGGGGTGGTTACAGCCATGTCCTTAGACGTAAACGACATGCGACGAGGAGTGGCTGGGATAATGTTGATATCCGGCAAATCAAATGAATCCTGTTTTATTGAGAGTTTGTCTGAGACATGTGAGCAAACAGAGCTTCTTCGCGGGGTTGGAGGGATGACATTGATGCATGGACCGGCAAAAACTGCCAGATTCTCGTTGTGTTCTAACTCGGCTTCAACCTGGTCTGCAACACTGTATTCCGTGTCACCACTGCTTTTCGAGGCAGATTCAAGCTTACGAAAGAGCTCTGCAAAGTCAAGCTCTCCTGAATCTGGTGAAAGCGTGTCATCAGCAGGCAGATGTGCATTTTTCCGCTTTTTTTGGCGGACGGGTCTCCTCACTAGAGATGTTGGATTTTGCATTTCAGCCTCGATGTTACTTGTTAATGGCAAATTGGACTCTTTTACGTGTTCTACTTTATCAACAGCTGATATCTGTGCAACTGTCTCCATCACAGACACTTCTTCAAAACGAACTGGCTCTGGAATAATGGCCTCTAGCACGATACATTCTGTTGTTGCTGTTGGAATTTCGACTTCAAGAAACGAGTTGTTATCGTCATCCTCATTGCCTGTCATGACGGGGGTGTCACTGTTGTACATGGTTCGGTCACTTTGCTGGGAATCATTCTCTATTGATTGCTTGTCGTCTTCTGCGCTGGATTTCATTTGGTTTCTGCTCAGTCCTTTGCCAATTTCTGATGTGAGATTCATCTGACTCGTTGAATCTCCACTTTCTTTTGATGGCAAATTCCTTATGTTCGACTGAGACAGGTCACCTGATTTCGCTGTTTGCCCATTTTGGCATTCAGACAATCCGATTTGTGGGAGATCGTCGGAAATCGCGAGCTGGCGACTGAAACTTTCAACCTGCCTCGCATTTTTGAAGGTGTTTCTGTTGGGCAAGGCCACAGACTCCGAGATGATGGGCCTGTCCATTGTAAAAATGGTCTTGACGGAAAAGGGCATTGTATCGGTGGCAGTCTGAAGACTGTCATCGTGATCAAACGAATAAACTCCACTTGAATCAGATATCATTGACCCTATTGAAGAACATAGATCTTCTGCTTCTTCTCCCGACCTTTGCTTTCCCTTTATTTTTTCTCGACCGCTTTTTGAAGCGAATGCTAAATTCAAACTGCCTTGTATCTTTTTGCTTTCAAGATTCTTTAAAAAAGTTCTCTCTTGCTCTAGCAATACATCAAGAGCCTCGATCTTTTTGTTGAACTCGTCTACATAATTTTTGTCATCAATACAAGTGGCAAAAAATTGATCGACGACATCTATTGTTGTAGTTTCATTGTCAGACCCGCTGTCTTTGTCAAGACTACCTTCGATTCTATGGGCTATGTGTTTAGGATCAAACTCAGCATCCTTTAAAGCTTCGAAATTCAGTGATATCTCAGATTCGTGCATCTTAGACTCGGTTAAAGGTTCTTCCACTAGTTTGTTGTTGAATTCATCATCTCCTTTAAACTTGACTCCTTCCATTTCATAGTCATCCACTGGATTGACCTCTTGTCCAACCTTGTCAGTAACTTCACGCTGGATTCTCGGCACTCCAGATGCTTCGCCATCATTCAAAAATATGTTTTGCGATTTCACATCCGATTCCGAATATTTTAGTCCATCCGAAGTGATAGCATCATCCCACGGCATTATAGTTTCGTTCAAACTTGTTGATTCATTTTGCCCGGTGGAATCTAGGATACTGTTTTCAAGAAGGCTTATTTGTAATTTGTTCCACTTCTCGTTCAAACTCTGCGCAAAAGAACCAAACTTTTTGGCAATTTCAGGGGAGGATTCCAATAAAATATCAATCTCTTCAATCATTTGCTGTAATGTGTCAATGTTCTGCTCGATTAACTAAAAAATGAAATAAACAAAAAACCCAACTGAAACAGAATTGAACGTAATGGAACTAATAAGGCAAGAACGTATTATAGCATATTTATTTCAGATAAATGCACATTTAATGTATAGATAAGGTAGGCGTCTTTATCGAAAAAAACTAGCGAAGAGAAGGGACATAATAATTGTCATAATGATTGTGATGACGATGATGATGATCAAAATGTGATGATTATGTGATGATTATGTGATGAACAGTGATGAACAGTGATGAACGGAGAAAGCAGCGGATGATCAATCAAGAAAAACATGATTCAACATGATGAATGACGGCGCCATAATACAACGTCTCACCTTTTTCAAAACCGGGTTTCCGATCGCATCTTTCATCAAACTATTGCAAGTTTCAACTAAAGAGCTGCAGCCTCGTACCAACACTGCGAACCTCCTTCCAGCACATATTCGATTTTCTATTTCATCTAAAAGTGTGGTAACTTCTTCATCGACCGTCCTCAAAAGCTGCTGCTGTTTTTCGATTTCTGGAGTTCGTCTGCAGTCGATATCGAAACTACCTTTCATAGATTCCAACTGAGTCTTTTGCTTCAGGATATTTTTCTTGAATGACTAAAAACAGGATTAAAATTCATTAATCAGAACATACACTTGGATTAACGCAGGCCCTTTATTAAATCTTTCAATACCAATGATGGTAGCAACGGGGTCGCTTTAATAAGGAAACCCATGTCAAGGGCTGGATGCCAGATAGTATTACATCTAAATCAAAACCTCTTCTGTAGCTTTCCAGACGAGCCTCTCAAAGCTTAATTCGCAGAACGAAGGAAAAAAGGAAACGTTTCTGGGTTGTATCAAGAGTGGAGTTGCTGAAAATCTTAAGTACAAACTTCCATTGTTGATTGACTCTTTACCATTTAAAATCGTGTCTGTTGCATTGATTCAAAATAAAAGCTAGTTTCAATTTATCGATGTTTATCCATTCAAACAAACACAACTTAACGAAAACTTATTGTCTTTACACAATAAATCTTTTTTATTAAATAAAATAAGGACAAAAACGAGCAAAAACATAAGATAATTACACCATAATGAAAATAAAAATTATGAATCATTAAAAAGACAGCTAGATATCTTTTTAATAACACATGATTATGAGAAAACAGTTAGTCGATGAAGTAACATTTAGTTTTTTGCTACTTCAAACATTTGTTTTACTTCGTATGTTGCTTAACTGCAATAATTGTTTTTTAAAAACCTCTTTCCCAACAAGAAAACGACTGCTGACTTAAGAAAACGCATGCTGACTTGCTAATGAAAATACTAATATGAAAATGAGACAAATTCATAAACTCTTCTCGTAAATAAGCTGTCGAAAACCGATCCAAAGCTGATTGAAAATCAAATTGAGATAGTTAAAAAGATTCTGAGATCCAAAAATGAAAGAGAATCACTTTCAAAATTACGTTTCTTCTAATGCCTGTGTTTTCTTAACTAAATTGGGTGTCATTATTTTAGAATAGCATGGATACATTTGCAATAAAATCTGGAGATTATGATTTTTGCTAACAAATTCCGTCCAATCATAAAACGATCCATTGTTAAAGAAGCATGATCTAGAGGGGGGTAGAGTTAACAATAAGTTTTCCACGTTGATAAATCAGTTGAACAGAGAGTGCTTCCATTATATTATCCATAGGGAACTCCATCTGTCCGGTTTATTAAGAAGTTCAAACGGCAAATCTAACGGACATGTTTCCTATCCATCGACAACTTAGCATGGCTTCATTTTCCCACCGTATGAAAGTATTCACAACTAAATAATCTATTTTGACAATAACCTTTGACGTTTGAAGGGCGTGGCATACTAGGACGGCTACTCGACCTGCAGCACGCCCAGGTCAATGTAGAAAGAGCAGCTATTTATGACCACAATTTGATGGCTAAAAAAGCAACATCTAACTTACAAGCATTGCCTCTATTGCTTCATCCGGGGTCGAGTCTTCACCATCAATCCAAAGAGACTCAAAACTGTCTTTCAGCTTTTCTGATTCATCTTTCAAACTCAACAATTCACTATAAACATTATTCATCTTGGGCAGAAGTGTATTCTCTGACTGACGTATTCCAGTCATTGGAACAACATCTTCGTCTCTCTGTGTAAAAAGTAAATAAAAATTACAACTATCTTGTCAGGAAAACAAGAAGGGAAAATAAATTTCTATTTCATCTTAACATTTAAGTTCCGAATTTCATAGCCAATTGTAGCTGGAAACTAAGAATAGAAGAGAAGAGGTGAATTTTTCTGAGGATAAACTGTAAACACACCATAAGAAAGGGCAGCCATATGGGCGGAAAACCTCCTACTGAAACGGGCAGTTCGTTGTAAAGGACAGGTTCTCTTGAGCATTTCTCAGTTGAGATTCAACAAACCAGATTGTTCTGAAGTTGATCACCGCTCGTATTACGAAATTTCTCTTTGTTGTCCATTCTTGCACTTTCCGTTATCTATTCTATGCCCAAAAATATTTCCGCTATTTATAAGTTTACGTGTCAACATGATTCTGGCTAGTATGATGCACCACCCTAGTATGATGTCCCTTTCAGCATTAGAAACAAAACTCCCTCTTTAAGACAACAACTTAATCAGTCTTGAAAACCTAAGGCAACAACCTAAACTTGCGATTCTACATTCACTAGAAAAGTCAGATTACACCAGAAACTATAATGGCGACATGTTTTGGAAAATTGGTTCGGTCCACGTCAGGAGCGTAGCGTGCGGGGGTGTGGGGGTGTCATTGGAAGTTTCTACTTTTTCAAAGCCATTTTTATATTTTGTACCACCAAAAAATGTTTGTAAAGTGACATCAATAGCAATTTGTAGATACCATGATGAAGATGGTGTTCATTGACAAACTTTGTTCTGAATATGTTAAATATTAGTAAAACAGAAACTTCAATAACTACGACTGCTGGAAGAGGTCAGGTGCAAAGTCTTACATTTCAAATAAAAAATAAAATATTTGAAAAGATAGTTATGTGTTTGAAAAAAACAGAGCAGTCACTTGCTAAGAAAACAGCTGGCATTTGAAGCGAGATGCAGGTTACCAAGAATTCAATGCAACATTACGGAAAAAGAATATTCAAAATCAGATTGAAATAGGGTTGGAATAGGGGAAATGTGATAAGACAGCGTGGTCCGAGCAACTTTGCGCTTGGTTTAGAAAATAACGTACTCCTACAAAATTCGTACAAAGCTGCATCAAAATGAAGAACTCTTCTTAAAGGTTTGCGAATACATTCTAATATAAAAGCTAAAAAATTCGAATAGAACTTAATACTTTTGCAAATCAAAAGAAAAGCTACGAAAACGGAAGAATAAAATATTCTTAAATATTTTAAAACAAACAAAATTTCCAAACAATAATTAATCGCGAAAAAGACGAGAAAAATTAATAAGTCCACCGATGAAGTATTTTCGATTCCATCACATATCATCGAAAATGCTAAAAACGTGAATTTCTTATTTCAATTGCATAAATACAAGAAGACAAAAATCCAAGAGACAGTGGACTGCACAGGTTCGGGAGAGAACCACGGCAAAGATACAAATGCGCTTGAAATTCAAACCTGACAAATTTTAATTCAAATATAGTTACAACAATTGCCATAAAAATAAGAACATAATTACCAATGAAATTTTCCCCAATTGAGATGCGTTTGATATATGCTAGCAAACCTAAGAGAAACTGCCACATACATGTGCAGGTGACGATCTATCACCTGTTTCAAGAAGGGCTCGTTTCTTTGACAACAACAGTTACTGTTCGAAGGCGAAACAAAATAGGCCTTCAACAATAGAGCACCACTTCCACAATCCCAACAAACAAGGGGCGATAGTGCCATGGGAGATTTCAAGGTGTAGGGTGGCCAGTCTCACCCAAAGCCACTCCCTGACATGTTGAATAAAAGATGCAACGTTAACAGCAATTTCTCTCACAAGGTTTGCTGTAGAGGTAATTACGGCTACGGAAGCTCATTTCAGATCGCTTTACGTCATCACACGGGATATCATGTTAAAAAACATTTTCTATAACTTCATTGATTTAATTACAATTTCTTTTTGGCGATTTTATTTTAAATCAGCTCTTATTTAAGGCATTGCTTAGCGCAAAACTCGTCAAAACAATTTATGCATAATGAATACAATTTGCAAAAAAGTTCGCAATTATATCAAAAGGAAAGCATGTGATCGCACGTGAAAGAGATTCGGATCGCAATAAATCCTGATTCGCTCTTGGCCAACCGATTACAGGTTCTTTCATTTAAATCAATATGAAAGACAACAAATATCGTAATTACTGTTACGGTAGAGTCAAATTAGTAAAGTTAATATTGAAAAATACTTAAAATTACGAGGAACAAAACGTTAAGGTAGAAAAATTAATAATAACAATAGATTTATCTCGTTTAAGTTATTATAAGAATGTAAGAGGTCAATGAAATCGATACAATAAATACATACGATAAACGAAAAATCTTCCGGGTCTGTCTCTTTAAAAATGCTGGTGGGTGCTATCAGCTGATATTTCTTAGACTGAGCCGATGCGCAGACTTGGCAGAAAAGATTGCGAATGATACGACATAGGACATTTATAGGGTTTGATATAGTTTGACGGAAGCCACTGAGGAGTTACACCTGTCCGCAGTGGCCGTCGATTGGCCACTTCTGAATCCATATGAAGATGGCTACGCACGGAATAAGTGAATAATAAATGAGGGGAGGGGGACGAAACATTAAATCGAAACCATATGCATTACAAATATGAGCTAAGACTCGTCTTCATCGAATTGGAAATAATTGATTTAAAAAGTTGTAACAAACAGCAAATATTATCAAACAGCAAAAGAGAAGGAATCATAATTTAAAAAAGTAATAAACATTCGTGATTTAACACAAAATAATAACAAAAATGTAACTGGCGTTGAAAAAAACAAGCACTTGAGTATACTGAAGCTTCAGTAAACTGAAATATTTGCTTTTTTTCAAAACCATTTTTAATTTGTGTACAATCAAAATATTGTTTAAAAATGTAACTGTTATCACAAATAAAGGAACTTTAAGATTTCCACTAGGAAAGGAAATGTGAGTTGGCAATGAAAAATATTTTGAACAATGAAAGAAGGCCGAACGAGTGAAACAAAAACTTTAAGGAATTATATTGCTGACCAAGAGAGGAAATCAATGTTTCGACAGGAAGAACTGCAAGAACGTGGATTCAAGAAAGCTCGCTTTTTGATAAAGCAACAAACAAGGAACATTCTACTAATGACTCAAAGATAAACATCATTCATAAAATTTTTTTCGTTTTCGTAAATTAGGCTGCGAGCAACCGAAATTCTTAAAAAAGACACCGTACGCCTCTGCAAACAACTCCTGGGAATAGCAGCACGTTTTTAGACGGCTTTTGACGTCACTACTCCGTTTCAATTCACCCAACGGAAAACAAGGTAGACGAAAAGCGCTACGATCAGCTGATAACTGACAGGCAGAACATAGGCCGCTCTTATCACATCTGCTCGGATCAAATAATAATCAATGTTATCTCGAATAACTGATACAAATATCGTTACAAAGCAAATCGTTTCTAAAGCCAGATAAAGGAGTGCTTTCAACAGGTCATGGCGTCTGTTGTACCAAGGTTTGAGACAATGTTATTGCAAATTGTAATATAAAGTAATCTGCAAGTTGTCAGAAAGGTTAAGATGGACTTGAAATATTTCAGGCCGCAGGTAAATAGAAGAAATGATAAGGCGAGTGGATGGAAGTAGACAACTAGCCGCGAAAATCTTTTCGGAAGAGCAATCGACACAAAGAATTTCTGATTGTTTGCCCTGAGCTGAAAATCGATAGGAAATTTTATCAGTTATCTAGCGACATCACCTGCCTGACAGATGGTCTCCTTTCTAAGATTTAGGTGAATTTCATTTGGTTTTATATTTGCAACTTCGTCAAACATAGGCTGAAACATGTCGTCACTTATATTCATCTTTAAAGTTATGTACAGGACATAACGATTTCGAAAAAAATAATATAGAGAAGCCATAGCGGGTAATTTTTGCCAAATGTGTGATTGAATAATAACTAAAACAAAAAACTTCATGAATAAGGTATAAGATGTTCACACAGAATACCTTCAAAATAATGAAACATTCGTAGGAATGATTCACTCTCTGCATTCAAGAAAAGATTGTTCGTCTTTCACCGTTTGCTTTAAACTATAAATTTTAGTTTTTCTCCTAAAGATTTAACAGGCTCCATAACATTATTTTTTTAATTTTTTGTAATCTTTATTTTCTCTTAAAAGACATTTTCCAGAAAACCTTGGTTTTTGCACCTTAACACTGAAGGTGTAGTTTATCAAAATTGGAAGTTTCATCTTTGCAAACCATTCGTAAACATTTTTCGCACAATGTTGAATTTATCATCAGTATCTCTGAATGTTACGATTGGTTCATAATGACTCTCGGAGATAAAACAACTTGAAATGACGGAAAGAGCCTGTGAGGCTTTGCCTGGCCCTCGTATAACGCTTTAATAGGCCATAAAGGGGCAAAAAAGCTCTTTTTGAATGATTCTAGTTGAAATACAAATAAAGAGGGAGAGGGATGGGGGAGAGAGAACATATTAACTGTTGGTTTCTTAAAAATTATTAGGCTCTTAGTGCGCCCAACGTTTTTATACACAGAAAGCGACAAAACCTAACAGTCTACCAGATTTTGAATCATCTTCCCTTGGTAAATTCCTTGCTCATATAAGTGTCGTGGGTGAATACCTTTTAAAGTTCCTAGATAAATTAATGTCCTTTTTTTGAACTTGCATACACGGAAACACAAAAAGTTAACAAGAAATTCAATTAACGAGAGATTTGAAGTAACCCTAAAAGAAAAAGAGAAAAAGCATACTGGGGGTTGCAAGACATTTCCCAATGACAAATGGAAACTTGGGGCGCAAAAAAAATCCAGAGTCGCAGGTGTTAGTTCACGCTTGGATAACTTTTTGTACCTAATACTTACCACCCAGAGGTATCTGTGATTGGTCCAAATTACAAATACAAATTTGATTGGCTGTTTACTGACTAAAAAGGTTCCTCTACAAAATCAGAAACGTATAGGAACAGATGATGCATCTTTACGTTATCAAAGTCAAGCTACATCACATGCATGCTCTCTACATAGGCGTGGTGACTGCATTTTTTCAAAAATATATGCTAGACATCGTCTAGGACGGCAAAGAATTTCAAAAAGGGTTACCTCCTCAGACGAGAAAAAGACGCCTGTAGTTTTCGAAGACGGCAATGCACGGCAATCTTGTTTTAACCTCTCTTTAAGTCTATTTTCAAGCGCACCATGCTGCAAAATCAGGACATCTATACTTGATCTCTGTGCCCACGTGATTACTTTTCCATTAGCTAATTGGTGAAGTTTATTAGTGGAGCTTTTGATGCCAGCTATCATCATCTGAAATATGATTAACGTCAGTGAATAAAAGTTAAAATGGAGTCTTATAACATTAAAGTTCAAAGGCCGGTGAATTAAAACATAACTGCAGGTTTCAGGTTTCAGGCAGCCCTGATTCCGGTAAAAGTAAAATCGAATCCACATTTAGCTGTGAATTTATTGACCGACATATTGCGGTGACAACAGATAACGCAACAACAGCACAAGAAACGAAGTCCAAGGATGGTATCCTCTTGCTAAGAAAATAATTTTGTTAGAATTTGCCGCACACTATCAACATCTTGCAAAAACAATGGAAGCAATTACATTTATTTCGTCGGTACTTCTGTCTATTAGTAATCTTCTCTCAACGTTACTCAATTCCTTCTCAGTTTCACGGATTTGATCTTGCACACGAATGACGTCCAGAACTGCCTTAGAAACCGTTGCTTTGCGATTGGCGATTTCCACCAACGATGAACTGAGATGTTGTTGTATGTTGCTCAAGGGACGGCTGCCACAAGCGACGTTTGCGGAATGCGAGTGCCTGTCAATGGATGTCAGAATTTTCTGGATCCTTAGAAGGCCTCGTTCTGCATCCTGCAAATCAAACAAAAACGTTCGCTAAATGCAAAACTGCCCATCATTCATTATCATATAAGACTGAGCCTGAGTATCCAATTTAGGCCAACATACAAAACACGCTCCAGCTTTTGTAACTGGAAAGGACAAAAAGAAATTTCTGTGAAAACATCAAGTAGAGCAAAAAGAACTATCTTTCAGGGCAAAGCAAATGTTGGTATTTACCTCAAGAAGCGAAATTGACCCTTCACTGGGATAAATGCTTATAACAACCGCTGTTGTTATCAAATTAAAAATATCATTGCTTTAATGAAGATATCACAAAAGTAATTACAATCTAGCGTAAATACAACTTAGAGGAAATTGTCAGCGGAAACGAGGCGGTGAGAAAAGCCGATTGGTTCGCAAAGCGAACCGCAAAAACGGTCCAGCTGTTGTAGGGTGTCCTGCTGGGCATTTCTTTCAGGCAGATCATTAAATTGGCTTTTAAGAGAATTCAAGCGTGGAGACAAGGATAGTGAACCAACAGGAGAGGCAAAAATATGGTCAACAAAAAGCCCTCAGCGCGCGCAAAACAGCATCTTTACAGCTGTGTATCCTACTACCAGGGATGATCGCAGTACCAAGCTGTACGAACCTCGTATAAGCTAAACAACGAAAAAACCGAAAGACAAATTTTTTGCGGATTAAAATATACAGAGGGTGCATAGAAAAGAATGGCAAGAGAATGCCACTTACGTGAAGCGTGATTAGCGCTTTCTGCAGTGATTCAATTGATTCATAATCATCACTCCTTGCAGATACGAGCAACTGATCAACTTGAATCAACTCAGCAGACGCCTCTCTTATCAATCCGTAAATCTCTTCTTCTTCTTCAAATCCAGTTTCAAGCGAACTGAGCGAGGCTGACAAAGCATTCTGGTGCTCAATGACATCATCTAACAGCAGCAGTGAATCGAGGCCTGACTCAATGCTTTGGTCTGACCTCTTCCTGTGTGTACTGGCCTCAACGACTTGCTCTGGGATGGAACTTCGTGGTGTTTCGATGTCGATTAATGACGATTCACTAGGAGATACACAACTATATTCTGACTCATTAATATCGTCTTTTTTCGCATCATCTGGGACTTCCTTTTCATAGCCTTCTTTATCATAGCCCTGCCCATTTTCAAACATCTTCGTTTCTTCATCTTCCGTCGAAAGTGGTCCTTCCACAAATACCGTTCTGCTATCTGTCAAACCATTTGATTTTTCTTCATCATCGTCTTTTTTCGCATAATCTGGGACTTTCTTTTCATTGCCTTCTTTATCATAGCCCTGCCCATTTTCAAACATCTTCGTTTCTTCATCTTCCGTCGAAAGTGGTCCTTCCACAAATACCGTTCTGCTATCTGTCAATCCATTTGATTTTTTTTCATCATCGTCTTTTTTCGAATCATCTGGGACTTCCTTTTCATTGCTTTCCTTATCATAGCCCTGCCCATTTTCAAACATCTTCGTTTCTTCATCTTCCGTCGAAAGTGGTCCTTCTACAAATACCGTTCTGCTATCTGTCAATCCATTTGATTTTTCTTCATCATCGTCTTTCTTCGCATCATCTGGTACTTCCTTTTCAATGCCTTCTTTATCATAGCCCTGCCCATTTTCAAACATCTTCGTTTCTTCATCTTCCGTCGAAAGTGGTCCTTCCACGAATACCGTTCTGCTATCTGTCAATCCATTTGATTTTTCTTCATCATCGTCTTTTTTCGCATCATCTGGGACTTCCTTTTCATTGCCTTCTTTATCATAGCCCTGCCCATTTTCAAACATCTTCGATTCTTCATCTTCCGTCGAAAGTGGTCCTTCCACGAATACCGTTCTGCTATCTGTCAAACCATTTGATTTTTCTTCATCATCGTCTTTTTTCGCATCATCTGGGACTTCCTTTTCATTGCTTTCTTTATCATAGCCCTGCCCATTTTCAAACATCTTCGTTTCTTCATCTTCCGTCGAAAGTGGTCCTTCCACAAATACCGTTCTGCTATCTGTCAATCCATTTGATTTTTCTTCATCATCGTCTTTCTTCGCATCATCTGGGACTTCATTTTCATTGCTTTCTTTATCATAGCCCTGCCCATTTTCAAACATCTTCGTTTCTTCATCTTCCATCGAAAGTGGTCCTTCCACAAATACCGTTCTGCTATCTGTCAATCCATTTGATTTTTCTTCATCATCGTCTTTCTTCGCATCATCTGGGACTTCATTTTCATTGCTTTCTTTATCATAGCCCTGCTCATTTTCAAACATCTTCGTTTCTTCATCTTCCGTTGAAAGTGGTCCTTCCACAAATACCGTTCTGCTATCTGTCAATCCATTTGATTTTTCTTCATCATCGTCTTTCTTCGCATCATCTGGGACTTCCTTTTCATTGCCTTCTTTATCATAGCCCTGCCCATTTTCAAACATCTTCATTTCTTCATCTTCCGTCGAAAGTGGTCCTTCCACAAATACCGTTCTGCTATCTGTCAATCCATTTGATTTTCCTTCATCATCGTCTTTTTTCGCATAATCTGGGACTTCCTTTTCATTGCCTTCTTTATCATAGCCCTGCCCATTTTCAAACATCTTCGTTTCTTCATCTTCCGTCGAAAGTGGTCCTTCCACAAATACCGTTCTGCTATCTGCCAATCCATTTGATTTTTCTTCATCATCGTCTTTTTTCGAATCATCTGGGACTTCCTTTTCATTGCTTTCTTTATCATAGCCCTGCCCATTTTCAAACACCTTCGTTTCTTCATCTTCCGTCGAAAGTGGTCCTTCCACAAATACCGTTCTGCTATCTGTCAATCCATTTGATTTTTCTTCATCATCGTCTTTTTTCGAATCATCTGGGACTTTCTTTTCATTGCTTTCTTTATCATAGCCCTGTCCATTTTCAAACATCTTCGTTTCTTCATCTTCCGTCGAAAGTGGTCCTTCCACAAATACCGTTCTGCTATCTGTCAATCCATTTGATTTTTCTTCATCATCGTCTTTTTTCGCATCATCTGGGATTTCCTTTTCATTGCCTTCTTTATCATAGCCCTGCCCATTTTCAAACATCTTCGTTTCTTCATCTTCCGTCGAAAGTGGTCCTTCCACAAATACCGTTCTGCTATCTGCCAATCCATTTGATTTTTCTTCATCATCGTCTTTTTTCGAATCATCTGGGACTTCCTTTTC